ATCCTTGACATAGGTGAGAATTAGCAATTAGCTACACTTCCCTCATTGCCAGGTTATAATGACATACATTTTGAACCAAATTCTGTGTGTCTATGTTTATTAAGCAAACATTTCTCAGCAAGAAGGCAGCAGCTTTTCCTTTTTAGAGCTCCAAGCCCCGCTGTGTATGAAAAGCTCACAGGAGGAGGCAGCAGCAACATTCTAGGGGAAGGATCTGGCTGCCTTATTGTTTGTCAGGCAACCAGAAGTTGCTCTAATCCACAGGTGGTGGGCAAGACCATTTAAGGCTCTACCAAAACTGTTTTAATGGACAAAATTTACTAAGCTTAGCAGTCTAGTTAGCTAGGCATCAGATGTTACCTGAGTTCCAAATAGTTGAATTGAATATGGTAGTACCTGAGCAGTGAGTCTTTGTGGCCAATCATGCTAGCTAAAATCCAGTCTGTATATTCTTTTTGTTTTGCTTTTAGTTGACAAATAATAATTCTACATATTTATGGGATATGATATGTTTTGATGCATGTTTACAATGTAGAAAGATCAATTCAGGCTAACAAATCCATCACCTCATGTATTTAATGTTTTAGTAGGCTTTTCTGTTTCTGTGACCAAAAGAGTAGATAAGAATAATTCGAAGAGGAAATTACTATTTTGGTTCAAGGTTTCAGGGGTTCAGTCCATGTTAAGCTGACTACACAGCTTTGGGCTCCAGGTGAGGCAGAACATCATGGCATAAGAGCATGGTGGAGCAAAGTATCTCAGGATATGATCGCCAGGAAGTAGAGAGGGAACTCTGCTCAACAGGAACAAAATAACAAACCCCAAAGGCATGGCCCCAGTAACCTATCTCCTCCAACCACACCCTACCTGCTTCCAGTTACCACTCAGTTAATCCATATTAGTGTATTAATCCACTGATTAGGTTACACTCTCATAACATAACCAATTCACCCCCTGAACATTCTTGGATTGTCTCACATATGAGTTTTAGAGGGACACCTCATATCTAAACCATAACACTTAGTACTTTTATGGTGAAAAATATTAATAAATCTAATTTTAAATTATTTTTAAAATACACAATACATTATAATTTATGGTACTTAACCATTCTGTGAACAGATCACTAAAACATTCCTCCTAATTAAAATGGATTCCTTATTAAGGCAATTTATTGTCCCTTTTGTTGAATCTTGCACTAAGTAGCACATTTATACTACTTACATAGTTTGTGCTAAAGTGTTTTTATCCAAAAGTGTTCATATTCAAGAACCATAACAATGGATGCTTAATAATCACACATAGTCTGCAAATACTGATTTAATACTTATCCCAGGTCAGACACTGTAATTAGACACCAGGATCACTAAGGTAAATAAGGTAGTTAGTACCTTAAAAGAGTTTGCAATTGAATGGGAGAAATACAAGCATAAGCAAAGCAATGATTATAGTGTAAAGTGATAAATGCCAGTTTACCCAGTGTACTTCTGGGATCCCCCAAAGACAAGTAGTAGTATTCTAGAGGTAGTATTAGAAGACCAGAAAAAAATTAATTTACATGTATAAAGTAGAGATAATCATTTTAAATCAAAGTAGCAGTGCTTGCATGAAAGTACTAAGATTTGAAACCTCACAATCCATTTTAAAAGTTATAAGTAGTTGAGATTGGCTAGAAGAAAGTAAGGAATGAGCTGAGTATAGGAAGACAAGATTGGGGAGAACAGATCAGTTAGGTTTTGTGTGTTAAGGTCAGAAGTCTGACTTTTTCTGCAAGATATGAGTTATCAGGGAAGAATGTTATTCAACAAATAATGTACATTTTAAAAGGTCAGTTGAAAGCAACATGTAGAATGGGTTGAAATAGGGTAGAGGCGGTGGCACAGGGTGATGGAGGCCAACACCACTTAAGGAATGGTAAGAGCTTAACCTAAGGTGTAAGCATTGAGAATAGTAAATACAGATTCAGAAGTAACCAATGATAGACTTGAGGCTGACTGGGACTGTGAGAAAAATCTAGAATATCTCGGAGCCTTTGGCAAATTGCATGGATGGTGCTACCCACCAATTTTAAAATGACTAAATAATGGCCACATGAATAATTGTTCCAATATGGGCATTTTATTCTTTATTAAATTAAGTGAAGCAATCCAATAAACAAGTTTTCCTTAAAGTTTGTGTAACTTTAAAATTAAAATGGAGGGATATTACATGTGGTTCTTCTCATTATCAGACAATAATACATTCCCGTCAATACTCTAGATTCTCTTTGGATTCTCTGTGTTCTTCTCTTGCTTGGCTTGTGAGATAGATAGATATATATATATATATATATATTCAGCCCCTCTACTTTTTAAGCTCTTTCACTGTAGATGTTTGTCTTTCCTGGTCAACCCAGTAGTAAGTACAATTCATTACACTACGTATTTTTTATTTCTTCAAGCATTATAAACTATAATCTCACAAAAACATGTTAAGTAATTTGTAGTATTGCATACAATTCTCTTATTATAACTGAAAATAACTTTTGATTAGAAGTCAAAAGTAATGGGTTAAAAAAGATAGCATTTATAGCTGCATCAAAATTATACATTATTCTAAGTGACTATGCAGTCACTGGTTCATTAAGCTGTTATATTCATACTGTATAAACCTTAAAAAAGGAGCACACATTTTTAATTCTACTATAATTGCTCCATCATGCCAATGTATATTATTTCCAATAAAATATAACTTATATTCTTATATAATGTCCCTTTCTTTCTAATAAAATATAAGTTTTTCCTGAAAACTCTTTAAAAGTTTATAAAAAGAGGGATAGTAAAATCTATATACAAAATCAACAGTATGATTAACTAGAAAACAATTCTACACCACAGCAAGTCAGTAAATTCAAATATCTACAGGATCTATAAAAATACATTTAACTATTAAATTCGTATAACAACAGTCTAACATAATCTGTCTTTAAGTTATTCAAAAGGTGTTTCAGAATCTTGAAGACTATTAAGAATAGGAAAAGTCAATTATTATACTGTGAATGTATGGAATGTTTGAAAACGTCACTTCTCTTAAGTGCACTTCTACTAAACAGAGTACCAGATTTCACCATACTAAAGGTAAAGAAGGGTGTAGGGAGTAAGGCAAATTCAAAAACAATGACTTATTGTGCCTCCAATTCAAATGTAACAAAATAAACCAAAAAAACTAACTGAGTATGTACTTTCTAAATCTACATGGAAACAAGAATGTAAAATAATAAGAAATTATTATTATCAAAAAGCTATACCTCATAAGTAAAGATAACCACAAATAACCACATGTTAATATTTATGTTAAGAGGTTTATATTAATAGTCACATCAACATATTAAATTCTAGAAGTATCTCATCTTTATTCATAATATGATAGCCTATGTATTTTCTGATTATATTCATAGGAAAATATGAGATTCCACTATTAGATTTTTTAAGGAGAACTAAATAAAATTTTAACAGTGAAAAACACTAAGCACATATTGAGCACCATTTGTATTAATCATTTAAACAAAAGAATATAGGTTTTAAGATGTCTGTAGTAAAATGATTTTTTATTTTATAAAAATGACTAACAAATTAAGTTATAGATTTATTTCTGCCAAAATGTCTTCTAACATACTGTTTTAATTTAAATTACTTAATTAAAAAAATAAGAAATGTAGCCAGTGAAAAAAGCACTTAAGGTTTTTCACATGTTTTCTTTCTGGTATTTCAGTAGAAAGTTTTACTACTTCCTGAAATCTTGGAATGCATGACTGGATTTATTGAATTCACACATATCAATCTTTCAATAATGTTGCCAAGTATAAGTGAATGAAACGATATGCCAAAAGTCATATTCTGCCAACTATATAGTTGGCAGTATTGAACCACTGTTATTTTGCTTGACACATTTTTTTTTCTAATTTGTGTTATCTTAACGTATAAATTAAAATAATGAACTTGTAAACAACTCTTTAAATTTCTCTCTACTTTCTCTCTCTCTTTCCAGAGACAAGTAAGGAACACAGAATTCAGAAAGAATGATTACAATACATCTAGCTATTAAATAATATTTATTTTAATCTTTTGATTTACTAAAGAAATATTTATAATACCATACATTCATTTGTGACACAAAATACACTATGACATTTTGAATGAGAATTACTAAATTTTCCCTTAGACCCATGTATGTAATAGTGGACTCTTGAAATCTTTAATAATCAAAGAGAACATTTTTCTGCTGTAATGTATTATTTCTAGCTAAATAATAATTCTGTGAAGGTAATAAGGATGGTAGTTAAAAAAAAAAACAGATTAAAAAACAAATGTGTCACCAGAATAATTACATTGTGCTCTTTTGAACAAACAACAGTACATAATTTAGAAGACAAGAATTTACAAGACAAATCTGTTTAAACACACACTGTAGGGATAAACTTCAATCACCTAAATATGAATGTTACAGAAAATATCTATTAACATACTTCTTAGAAAAGTTCTCTCGAATATCCTTTAATATTTTCCCATGTTCAAAACAAGTTGAACTGTTTTAATCCTATAGGCCGAGAGACAATTCCAGTTCCTACAATTGAGAATGCTGGCAGAGGACTGAAAAAGTATGTGAAGGACAGGAAGCTTGGTCACTGGACAGATGCTCTCATATAGTTAATCTATTGAGACTTGTAAAAAATGACCTCAAAGATAGACAATAAACTGAGGACTTACTTTACAAACCTTGAGACAGGAGAGCACGTACACAGCACCAAACACACACACACACTCACCTACACCCAGTTTTCTCAATATTTCTCTTTTCAGACTCAATTTTTTTTTAGAAAAAATAAAGGAATTCCTAGAAAAATATACTCTACTGTTTCATCGTATTTTATATTCAATCCCTTTCTACTATAAAATGTTTAGTGCTGAAGACACTATATATATATATATATATATATATATATATATATATATATATTAAAACTAAATTCCCCATGGAATACGTAAGATGTTAACAAAATCTGCATCATCTGCTATCCCTATGCTTAGACCTTCGTAGTAATCTTCAAATTCACCATATGATACTTCATCAGACTTGCTGCAGATGGCCTTTAATGTTTCTAGAAAATATGATTTGATTTCTTCCTCTGTGGAATGGCCTGTAAAATAATACCAACTATGAAACAGTCTCTGTTAAAAATTGGTAAAATAATGATTATAAAGGAATGCTTATTCATTTTATAAAATCTTTTCAACAATACAAAATAATACGTAAAACTGTGCTCCAATTTATTTAAACATGAGCTAGAATTAATTCCATCTCGTTACCTTGCCACTCCCTCCTCACCCCTCTTTCTCTTGCATTATCTATTTCCAGAATTTTAGCAGAGAACATGACAGAAAAATAAAGTTATTTTAAATAAAGAAGCAAGAATTAAAGAGGAAAGGAAGCTATAGAAGGCGGTCAAATTATAAATGGAAATAAATGGGTACATATGAAAAAGCAGAAAAAGGCTAAAAGAATCTTTGTGGCTTTCTAAAATATTTTAGAGTCAGGTTGTATTGTAAATAACAGAATTACATGGGAATATCCCCTGATCATTTATCTAGTAAGGTAAACAAAATTAGGATAAAAGCTGGATCTTTTTCACAAACCAGAGATTCTCTAATGTATTCAGAACATAATGCTTGTAAAGTGCCTTTCAACTAATTGAATGCAATCTTTTAGGGTATCAAGAAGGTTTCTGTCATTCAAAATCATACATGAGTAATACAGAACAAAGCGATTCTTAGTCAAGGCTAAAAATTAATCATAATATAATCTATATAAAAACATAAATTTGGGGGCTAGGGATATAGTTCAGTTGGTAGAGTGCTCACCTCACATGTACAAGGCCCTGGGTTCAATCCCCAGCACCAAATAAATAAATAAATAAATAAATTTTGGCAGGAGAAAATTCTCTCCCTGTTCACCATTCATACATTTGAACAGATAAGTTCTAGTTCAATATTTTTTTCTAAGGAAAACTTTTCCTACTTAAATTTATGCTTCAAATATCCGAAGATTTTATACCTCCTTAAAATCTTCTACATAGGAAGTGCCTATCTGCTATCATATGTAACTTAATTTTACTATCTTTAACTCCTCTTAAAGATTAGAAAATATTTACCACAACCAATACATCTAATGCCATTACACAGAAAAACACTTGGGATATCCCATTTTTGTTAAACTTTAATGCTTGTAATTAATTACTTAAAGTAAAAAAAATATAATATTTCGTATTAGTCAAATAAAATTGTATGTGGTATAAAAGCCTTAAAATGAAATTAATTGTAAATGATAAGCAACTTTTGCCCTAGAGATGGGCATGTGAATAGTTTGCAATAGTAGATAACAGAGTTTTTCTTTTCTAAAAACTTGTGTTTCTCTTTCGTAAGTGTTTAGCTTGCTAGCTAGTCCTCCTTAATGTGAATGCAAAGACGAAGTATAGAAATTTTGAAACTAACAAAGGCTTCCCAACAACAAAAGAAAAACCCTCTTCCACAATTCAATGACACAAAATAGAACTAATAATGTCTTCTGTCTAATAATGCTTAACATTATTAGACAGAAGACAAAAAGAAAAAAATAAACAATAATGAAGTCACCTAATTTTGAAATGAGTAAACTATTATGTTCTGATATTCAGTATGCCTAGTTAAACATAAAGCATGGGGAATGACATGTTTAAAGGGTAAAACGTATACTATGAAATATTATTAGAAATTCTCTTGGAGTAACTGTAATTCATTTAAAGTCACTAATAATCCAATGAAACTATTATTTTATTTTATTGGCACCAGGATTTGAACCTAAGGGTGGATGCTTAACCACTGAGCCACGTCCTCAGCCCTTTTTATATTTTATTTTGAGACAGGGTCTCATTATGTTGCTTATTATAGCCTCACTAAATTGCTGAGGCTGGCATTGAACTTGAGATCTTCCTAACTCAGCACCTCCCCGCCCCCAAGCTGCTGGATTATAGGCATGTGCCACCACACTCAGCTTCAAATAAAACTATTTTAACCTAAAACAGATTACTGGAAATTTGGAAACCAGTAATAATTAGCACTAATCTTCAATACTAACTCTATTTTTTTCTGTTTTTACTCCCCAATTAAAATTAATAAACAAACCATGTGCAGAAGTTAATAAGAAAACAAAATAATTAGTGCATATTTTTAATATTAAAAAAGCAAAAATTTAAAATAATAGTACTATATAATTTAAATGATAAATTCAGAAACTTCATAAAAGATGGCCAATAGTCATAAAATAGTAAAAAAAAAAATGGTCAATAAATATTCTCTAGTAATCAAGGAGATGCAAATAAAAAAATGTTTAACTTACCAAATGGACAAAAAGTTAAACTGTTGGCAAAATTGTGAAGGAATAGAATTTTCCAAGTAGTGGTGGTATAATCTAGTATTATCATCATACAATATAATCTGGAAGTATAATTAAAATTGGAAATCTAGATATCCAACTAATTCTAGGTTTTGATATCTAAGGAATCAGAAGAAAATGAGCCTATACTCATAAATAATCATATATGTTGCTTTATTGGTTGTATATCAATAATTAGAAATTAAAAGCCCACCAATGGGCTATGAAAATTGTATAATATTGATTTGTGAAAATAATAATATATACAAGGTAAAAACAAAGTGACTCAATATGCATTAACATGGAAATAGATCCAAAACACACTGTTGATTATAAAAAGCAAAGTGTATAACAATATGTTTAATATGTCTTTCAAATCAGGAAAAATAATCTTCAAAAAGTATTAGATATTTATAGCAGATATACAGCTATGAAAAATACATAGATTAAGGACAGAAATATATATATATATATATATATATATATATATATATATATATATATATGTAAAATGAGAGTAACTTTTACTTCTCTGAAGAAAAATGTAATGGAGAGAGGAGATTAGTGGCGGTCAAATGCTTTATTTATAATTAAGAATTCATTCATAAATCAATTGTGTAAAAAAAAATTCAGGAGAAATACAATAGGAACTGAATTCCTAGAATTATTTTGGGAAATTTGCTTTATCCTTCTAGTATGAATAAACACGTAAGCAGATAAAGTAAAACTAACCCTGAGAATTGGCAGATATAATTACCTATTTTCTAAATCTGGTCTTTTAAACTCAAATTCCTCATCCTCTCCTAAGCAAAAATAAAATAAAATAAGAATTCTATATCAATTATAAATATCAAATCTGGGCATCCTTTCACTTCTGTAATCCCAACTACTCAGGCGGCTGAGGCAGGAGGATGACAAGTTCAAGGCCAGCCTGGGTATCAGGGTGGGAGGGAGTGGGAAACATATATAAACAGTAAACCTAAGAACTTTTAAATGAAAATGGTAAATAGCTCTCAAGTTTCTGGTTCAAACAAAAATTATTTTTTTCCTTCCTCAGTCAATGCTTTAAACTTAAAGATGATGCTTTTATCAACCAACATTTTAGAAATCGAATGCACTTTGACTCATAACAATTACCTGAAATTACTTGAGGATGCTTCTTGGCACAATAACATTTTCTTATGTCTGTGAGAGTCACAATGCCAGTTTTGTTGAAATCCAGTTTCATAAAAGCCTAAATAGGGAAATGTTATTTTTTTCTATGAAATCATTACACATAAAAACCTAATTATCTATTTTGCAGTAGGTGCTTTCTGAGCTATAAACAGGACAATTTAAAATGTACTAAATTGACATGCTAAAGAAACATCATAAATACAGGGGAAAAGATAATGAAGCAAGATGTTAGGAAACCCATACTCAAATATTTAGTTCTACCACCTTCTAACATCCTAACCTTGAAAGTAAGCTAACCTCTGTTGCCCTGGCTTTCCTTCTCTGCAAACTGAAGAGCTGGATAAAAGATCTCTTGGGTAACTTCCAGCTCCAAGACCCATAGAAAACTGCTAAATGACCAAAACAAATCACCAGGAGAACTATTTTATGCAAAAAGTGAACCTGCAAATATCCCTTCACTAAAATCAATGAAAAGGTGAAATAACTTTAAATGAGTGTTATTAACCTATTTCTTGAAATTTAACACTACCTTTTGAAATGTTAGTTATTTTACTGCTCTTCTAGTTCAATACGACTCAGTATCATAAAATATATATATATAAAAAACTCCACTGGGAATATGATGAGGTGCATAAAAACACACAAGCTTCCCAAAGCAACATACCACATTGGCAGAAGAGTCAAAACTAGAATCTGTTTTATTTATTCACACTCTTGAGTTCATGAGTTCACAGAAATCTGGTACCTGTTGAAAATTAAATCACACCTCCCCAAATTCTTATGTTGAACCCTAACCCCCAGTGCCTCAGAATGTGACTGTATTTGGAGACAGGGCCTTTAAGGATGCAACTGAGCTAAAACAGAATCATTAGGGTAGGTCCTAATCCATTAGGACTAGTTTTCCTATTGAGAAAGCAGGGGGACACAAACAGAATAGACAACAATGTGAGAACACAGTAAAAGTGCAGCAGCTGCAAGCCAGGAATAGACCTCAGAAGAAACAAAGCCTGCTGACCCCTTCTTCTTGGACTTCCAGCCTCCAAGCCATAAGAAAATAAATTCTGTTGTTCCAGTAATATAGTCTGTGTATTTTGATAATGACAGCCCTTGCAAACAAATCAAATACTCCATAACTCCTATTTTTCCCTCTATTCCCAGTACCAACATATATGAACAGGAAAATCACCAGTCTCTACTCCTGACACTCAAACCTATCACCAGGACATGTAGAGTACAAATAAGTACCAATTTATAAATATTATGTGGTGAATTTGTTTTAGTTAACATTTTTATTGTGTCTCTTGAATCAGTAAAGGCAGAGTTTAATTTCTATTTGAGATTTATACCTGAAATAATCATATATCTCACTTTATACAGAAAAGCTTTGTTTCAATGCTAACTTTAAAACATATATAATTTTGGGGCCCAAATACAAAAGAAAAAGAAAATTATATTGATCAAAGTTATACTCTTAAAATGGTCACCAGAAGTCAAGTAAATATGTAGTTTTCTATAAACACGGGGCTCCTATTTTAATTCTAATTTAGTATGATCATTATAATCCTCATGTTATCATTCGGCATGCAAATTACAAAGGCCAGAGAAACATTTTTAGTTATCATCATAAAATAACATGTATTGAGCATTGACAATGGGACAGTCACAATGCTGAGAAGTTTATATTTTTATCTCATTCAATCCTGTATTAATTCCATGGGACAGGAAACCCAGGCTCAGTGATATCTCATAACACATAAAGTCAAATAGCTATCAATTTATGGAAGCAGCAATTTATAGAGTTAGTAATTTATAAACAAAATTTGATTTCAAATTCCTTCCCTCTTATACTATTTTTTCTGAAACTTATGCTGAACTATTTTTACTTTATTCTGGGTAAATCTATATGCATTTGTGTTTATTTTTGTTTTACTAAACCCAACAATGTTTTATAGATACAATTATGTGACACATTTTAAATGGTAATTTGTTGAAGTTTTTAAATAATGAAACTAACTATATATTAAAAGTAATAATTTTAAAGATCACTTAGCAGTTACCTTTCGAACAAATGATTTCCTGTATTCATTCATTTCACCAATAATGGCACGTTTGAATTCTCCATAATCTACCTTGTCCTTGTCCTTGCCCTCGCCATCACCACTGCCACTCAGAATCAGCCACAAAGACTCAAAATCCTAGAAATATTCACAGGGTTCATTGTTACACCTCTAAGTTAGACATAGTCATAAAGAAATAGTCATAGTCATATTTTGTTATATCTCCTAAAGCCCTAGAAAAGGCAGATAACTTAATAGGAACATTCAAAAAGGTCACATATAAATCCAAACAAGCCATTATGAAAATCACTTAAAGGAAACCTGAAGTGAATAGTTCTATAAAATTAAGAACAATTTAGGGGGCAATAACTCACAAGTATATCGTGTTTGAGTTATTTTATTTTTGATTGACAAATAATTGTGTATATTTGTATAATACAATATGGTTTCTACAATAATATTCAGTGTAGAACAATCAAATCAGGCTATCATCAAATGAAGATATTAACATATCTATCACCTCACATGTTTATCATTTCTCCATGGTGAAAAATGTTTAAAATCCCGTCTTTGGCTATTTTGAAATATACAGTACACTATTATTAACTACGGTTACCATACTGTGCAATAGATCACTAGAACCTCTTGCCTTACTGAAATTTTGTACCCTTTACCAACATCTCCCCTTTTTCTCTGTATAGCCCCTGACCCCTGCAACTAAGCCCATGTTCTGGTAAAAAAAAATTAATCCCTTAAAATTCAATTCATGGTTAGATAGAGTGAGCTACTATGTACTGGGTTTGAACTTTTTTATTATTTTTATAATGTGCTATATCTGTGACAATTCAAAAGTCACTGAAGGTCCTGAAACACCTCCAACAGCATCCAACCACTAATTATATTCCCGCTGGTCTTCTTCTTTCAAAGTAAAGATGCGAATGAGTCTAATGTTATTGCACAATTCACACTGAAAGGTGTGATTTGAGTAAACAAATCCCTTATGTTGGTTTGTACACTATGCCATTACCAGTTACTTCTTTGGCAAATGCACTATTTAAGAGAATGCTCTTTTCACAGCATTCTTTTTTTTTTTTTTTAAAGCGAGAGAGAGAAAATTTCAATATTTATTTTTTCAGTTCTCGGCGGACACAACATCTTTGTATGTGGTGCTGAGGATCGAACCCAGGCAGCACTTGTGCCAGGTGAGTGCGCTACCACTTGAGCCACATCCCCAGCCCTCACAGCATTCTTGATAACAAAAAAATTGCAGCATGAATTTTCTTAAACCCAGATAAGTATATTATCAATGTTTTAATCAAGTTGTTAGCTTTAAACAGGACTAAATAAAACACGTAGTAAAGTACCTAGCAAATAAATACTCAAAAAGTATTCTTTTCCACTTCCTCCTATTTTTTCCAAACAAAACTTTAGTTAGAAAAACTATATTTCCAACTGCCCTTCTTCCCCTCAATTCTCAACAGCCCATCCATACTTTTGTCTATCCTAATGCCCCATACATTACAGAGATTTTATGTGTTGGTTCAATCAAATTGAAAATGAGCTTGAAGTTTAAAGTCATGAGTAATATGAACAGGAGAAGACAGATTTGTTCACTCAACTCAATAGAATACTAGAATTAAAGGATATATCTTAAAGCTTAAAATAAGTTATTTTCAAGAATTGAGTAATTTTACATAAGTGACAACAAATTTATGTCCTCTAGATATGGTACAGAATGGAAAGTTACTCATTTGAAAAAAGCTGGAGTAAATTCATTGTAGTATTTTCTATATAAATTAGGCTCTTTATGGTACAATTTTTTTTGTTTGTTTATTTCAAATCAGGCAGGATGACAATGTCTTCCCACAAACACTTTCTAGTTCCACAATAGGCCTGGGGGGGTGGGGGTGGGGATGATTCTTATGTCTTATTCTCAAGCCTCTTGCACATGTTTATCATTCCATGAGCAGGTTCCAGTGATGTGACAGGAAACATAACAGGAATATTATTTAAAATACATGAAATAGGGGAAGACTTACTCACATTCTTATATGTTATCCTCTTTAGTTTTACTCATAAATCTAATCAAACATTTAACAATCAATCAAAAGGGGAGGAACTGCAGTGATACAGGAAAATCACTAGATGATGCCAAATTATCTGGGGTCAAGCTCTCTATCATTTATTGACTATTTGTGTTATTATCAAAAGCAAACATCAAGACTTTCTAATTTCTTATTGCTGCTTTCTTTTTAATCTACAAAAGAAAGAAGTGAGGGGGAATGATCCCAGGTATGTACCACTAGGTGGGCCACAAGCTTAAACATCATTAAAAAAAACAAAACAAAACAAAACAAAGAGCAGGTATGTTACAAAGGTGATAAGCAATATCATTTGGGCACAGGATTTTGCAGTTGACAAGGCATATTCCCATGTAATTTTTTTCATTTGAACTTCCATGCAATCTTATTAGGGCAATCAATTGGTCACACAGAGCTTGTCAACCAGAAAAGTTAAAAGCCTTGTCCAAGAACACACAATTAAAGCCATAGGACTAAAACTTGAACCTGAATCTTACAAATACAATTTCCAGGGTTTCTTCTACAAAATAGGCTATACCTTTAACAAGACCATCTGGAGCAAAAGAGAGCAATGAGAAAGAATCCTTTAGCTGAAGTCTTGATGTGAGTCAAATTTATATGCTATTAGAATATAATAGAAATTAGCATTAAAGACTTTAGTGTACCAGACTCATTTCTCACTCTTCTTTTATTTTCCTTGTTTCCACACATGCATCTGTTGAAACTAATGCACTGTTTATTTAGCACTAGCTGTATGCCAGGTCCTGTTCAAGGTACTAGAAAAATAATGGGACCAGAAGCACCCTGGTCCCTACCCTGATGGGACCTAAGTTCTACTTGGAGGCAGAGCCAGACAATATTTACAATTTGACATGAAAAAATAAAAATGGGAAGTTGACACAGAAAGGCTCAGAGATCAGAAGGTGGTGCTCTTTTAGACAGAAGTGTCAGAGCAAGGCTGTGTATAGAAAAAGCTCTGGCCTAAATAGGAAGACAATGTAGCATTTAAAGACCTAGAAGAATATGACCATCTGTACACTTTGGGGAATAGGTTACTCCTTCCCCCTCCACGCCTTCATATGTGCTCTCCTTTTCATGAAATATCTGCTGTCTGATCCACACTCCTCCTCTTCCCTTGGTTCCTAGTTAATTCTTCCTCATCCTTCAAAACTCAGCCTGGATCCTCTCCCAGAAATCTTCCCATGATCTTCCCTTTCCTTCCCAATAACCTCGCATAAAGTTAGCTACCATCCCATGTGTACCAAAATACTGTCTACTTAACACATATATAATTTCACAATCATTTCCTCAATTATGAAGATCATGAGAGTAAACAGTATGTCTCCTCAGAGCTTAGCACAATGCCTGGATACTAAGCTCTTAATAAATGTATTATGGAGAAATGAACATTGAACTTTCAAAAATCAATAGGACTTGCTGCCTGGTGGCTTTACACAGACAATAGGGCAAGAGGAAGAAGTCTACTTGAGCTACTAAAATTTCAGAAGAAAAGTGAATGATGCTACCCAAGAATACTCCCCTGCAGAAAACTTTACTTGGTACATACCTCTTCCAACACTTCTAAATGAAAAACTTTCAGAGCTTGCTTCAAATCTGCCTTATCTAAAAGCCCATTTCCTTCCTTGTCCAATTGTTGAAAGTGTTTTCCCAATCCAGTCAAAATACGAACACCTCTTTTACGTAGTTTTTCTTTTAGCACATCTGTTTAACAATAAATGAGATGGAAACCAATTGTTACTGTGCACAAAGGTATCAAACTGCAGTTGTTTCTCTTGTAAGAAAATAAAATTTTATGTAATGGGAATAGTGTGAATATTGAACCAAATCAAGAGTATGACTAACAAAACCCTCCGGAAAACAGAATGTTTTTAATAAAGAAGATTATATATGCAACCACATGTAAATATACCAGAACTACAGCGCCACTGTGTGGTGAAAATTTAAAGTGTTATATTTTAAAATCAAGTTTCCTTCTATTAGCAAGAAAATAGCCTAAATGTTTCAAGTTAAAAAAAAAAAAGTTCAAAATTTATAAACAGTTTGAGTCATCAAATTGAAACTCAGATATTAAACAGCATCAAGGTTGTTGAGTGCTGTCCTATAACTGTATATGTAAAGTAACCCTTCTTTTTGGAAATTCACAGGTTATATGCTTAGGTTCCTAGATTCTTCTTATAGATCAATTATTTCACTTAATACAGTTAGGAACAGATTCACTTAGCAAAATATTGGGAACTTTACTAAATCAGTTATTATATTTAATACATTGGAGGAAAGAACAAATGTCATTAGATTCAATAGAGGTAAAAACTGTAAAAATAGAAAAAAACTACTAACAATGGCATCAAGAATATTTGATTCAAATATTAATCTCAGACAGCCATCAAATGTTTCTAGCCTTCTTACTGTGAATCTTTTATCTTTAAGTAATATCTTAGCATTCATCAGAAATCATAAAGTATTTTTGATTTCTGTGATTACTTGTTTAATGCTTTTCTCCTCTCCAGACTATGAGATCCAACAAAGAAATTGTCTATTACAATCTAGTATGCTGCAGTAGTTGTAAGACAGGACTCCTAAAACAAAAATCTGTAAAATGCTTTAGTTTCCAAAGTGTGTGTGTGTGTGTATGTGTGTGTGTGTGTTTCATTCATTACCTACAACAAGCCTGAAAAGTTAAAAGACAGGCATTATTATCCTCATTTTAGAGATGAAGAAAGAGGTGCAAGGGATTTACACAAAATCATATGTCTATTAAATGGCAGAGTCTAAACATGAACTGAAGCCATCTAGTCAAACAATTTTTCTTTTACACTAGACTACCAAAAATCTTTTTAGACATCATTTAATGCATAAGATAAGTATTATGAGAATCAATTTTATATTTTATTTAGTTTATGAATAAAACTCATATTATCTCACACTTTCTAAAACTATTAAGTTTGTGATCCACATTTACTCAGGACCATTAGTGCAGAAGAAATCTTAAAAATATTTTAATAAATAAATATGTAAGCTTTAAAAAATCAAATAGGAAACATATACCAGGTGCTATAAAATTAACAAATATCTCAAAAATAATGCTTTGACTGATTGCAACAAATATGGATGAAAATTAAAACTAGTATTTGAGATAGAGTGCAAATGCATACCTTGAATGGTCTTGAAGACCAGCCTATCATTGGCTTCTTGATTGATTATATCATTTTCATATTCCACTGAAGTAGTTCTGCAATTGACATGTTCACAATGATAAAAATATACTGGATTTCACGATGTCAAGTACAGAAACTCTAAGTTCTTTGCTGCTCCAGACCCAAAGAAACCCTCAAAAAAGTTGGAAGAGTATAGAGTTCAACCAAGTCCCAATTTTCCTGCTGCTTTAATGCCTAGGAAAGTTGAGATAAAATCTTTAAAACCTTCCAAGAGCTACCTGTGAACATATCCATCTTTATGGTTAGCTCAATGTTCTTTAAAGACTTAATTAAAACTATTAAACTCAAAAGTTCTAACTTAAAATGTTAAAACTGCTTGCTGTTTTAAAGAAGGCCCTCAAAATAAATTCAATTTTATAAATACAGGAAACAACAAGTGAGGATTTCCTTACTGGCAATTTGTGGGATATGGCCCTTCGTGAATGTACACTACACATAAATTATTGTCATTTTGATTCATATTTAATAACAAGAAAACACTATTCTGTGTTTGAATATGTAATGTGTGTGTACTCCTATAATTTAAAAAACGCAAAATCATTTAAAATCAGTTTTTGATTCACAGCACTATTTTTTTTACCATGCATATAATTGATCGATGAAAACTGTAAGAATACGGAATCTGAGATATGTTTTATGTTAAAAAAAGCACCACACTAACAATGTGGGAAAAATTATTATGATATACTGACATTCTATATTTTAAAACTTAATACTTTGGTAGTATTTGGTAAAATGAAAGTGTTAGGGGAAAGGCAAATTGATAAGTTATCTTTAACATAATAACATTTAAATTTTTCATTGATGATAACTGTCCCCACATATAGAATGTATTTGAGAGCCAGATAACACAGATAGATATGTTACATAGCTATGTTTAAAAAAAAACTAAATTCTAAATGTGTTGTGATAGAATCTTATTTTAAAATAATTATAAAAATGTGTTTTGACTTACTTTCAAAATAGCAAATGTCTATTTGACTTACTTCAGAGAATCCAAAGCTATTTGATCAATATTGGTGATTCGAAGTCTAAGTATTGAGTTTTCTTTCATGCTTTCTGGAAGGCTTGGGTGATCAGAGGTCAAAAATGTCAAGGTTGCACCCTGAAGAAATGAAGAGGTAAAATATTTAAAGCTAGAAAGTATACAAGATATAAAATCCAACTAATGCAAATTTAAAATATTTGATTCAATCATACGTGACATAGTATATTTTAATTAATGATAATGTATACTTGGAGAATATTTAGAAACTACACAGGTGTCAGCTAATATGATAGAAAAAACAGAAACAAATATTCCCAATTAATTAGCACAATTTTCTATCTAACAGTCCATGGAAACAAAAAAAAAGTCACTAATGTAAGAAACCTAGAGTTTTTAATAAGAATCACAGGGAAGGGCTAGGGATATAGCTCGGTTGGTAGAGTGCTTGCCTTACAATGCATAAGGCCCTGGGTTCAATCCTCAGCACCACACCAAAAAAAAAAAACAGGGAAAAATTAGTTCCATTTGTCAAAATTATGACATCCCTAAATAGAGAAATAGATCTATTGGTCCACAGAAAGATATAATATGAATTGATAAACTCTAACTGATGTTCTATCACCTGGTCTTTTAATGACATGTCTCATAAATAAAATCTAATCTTTACCTAATTAGAGCATCAAGATTCACTAACAAAATTCTTAAGCCACTTAAGAAAATTATTATTTAAAATTTCTGTTCATATATACGTATATCCAATATAAAGACAAACACAAATTTAAAATAATCCTTCCTATTGAATATAAAGGGAGAAATTTTCTCCTTTCTTTTTTCTTAGAACAGTTATTTTAGAACATTTTTAACTGCAATGGAAATACTTCCTCCTTTCTTTGAGATGTATATAAATTTTTTTGAAAATTAGACAGGCCTACTGCCAGTTCTCTGTCCTAGGAAAATCTTTCTGTAAAACCTGGGAACCACTTTTTGAAATGTAAACATCAAGGGCAACAGCACTCTTATCTCCCACTTTCTGTGAGAAGACAGGAGAATGATTTCCTTAGGCACCTTGCTCTAAGTGCAAAACTATCTCTTGTCACAAAGATGAAAAGTCTGTTTTCTCTGGATAAAGTCAATTAGCTAACACAGACAGCCATCCCAATTACAAGGTGACTCTAGGATGAACTATGTGTGACAAATGGTGCTGTCAAGTCCTCTTTCTGGAAGGCAAGTTCCTTGTATGCAATGGGTTATGTCTTTTTGGCTACATAAAAGGGTGAGATTTCTGTCTTTGCACTACTCTATTACCAAATTGCCTATGATGTGCATTACATTCTGGCTTAATACTTTTCCAATAATAAAAGTATTTTCCTTAGTCCTTTTATGGGAGACTTTCTAGGTTTCAAATGCTATTTCCCCAACACCAGTCATGAAAGTAATCCTTAAAATATTTTTCAACTAAGAAAGTAGGAAGCAGTGATATGGAGCTTCCCAGCTAAGGCTGCAGATGGGTTCCAGATCTGCCAAGCTAATGAGTTGGGTGAATTTAGGGGCAAGCAGAGCTTCTTTGTCACCTTTACGTAGCTTCATGTTTACTTCAGTAACTGCCCAAATATTTTCACTTTTTATAGCAAAAAAAAAAAAAAAAAGCAGCAGCAGCAGCAGCCCAGCAGAAGTCAAATTAACATCCAAAGTTAAGTAGATAAATCAAAGCAGAACCATTAGAGTGGAGAATCTGGTCCCAAAGTTTTGAGGCCTACTACTAACTTACAATGTGCCAAACAGAAATGATCAGTTATCTTATCATTTTGTTTATATTCATGAACATATATTAATACCACTGAACAGCTGAAAAGTAATCAAGATACAATTTAAAAGTGTACAAAGCTTTCTCCCCAATCACAGGTAGACTTATGTCTATAATTAAATATCAAACAAATTTAAAATGAAATGAAAGGATAGATTATCTCTATCAAGTTTTTCTATGACAAAAGATTACTTTAAGGCCATTTTCACATTTCCAGAGAAATCAGCACAATAATTCATCAAAATGAGAACTTAATAGATTGTGGAAAAATAATTAGAGTGAATTTCACAATTTTCTTGGCTACTTATTCCAGGAACTAAAATTAGACTTCCGTCTCCCAAAACACAAGACTTCACTTACTCTTTTAAGGCCATGAACCTAAAGTTCCATAGATGTGGATGTTATCTAAGAAAGGTAAGCATGACATTTTTCATTTTCCAGGAAAAAAAATGAGATTTTGTTTATTTTTCAAAGGCAAGATGGAAAATTTAAAGATCTAATAATAATTCTTACTTTTAGTAAAGATTTAAACATGTTTGACTATAAAACTTGGCAAATTTTACTTATATTTCAAATGTAAAGTTATACATTTATTCAGCCTCACTGACATCTGGTGAGAACTTTCAGGAAACTCATTAACAATATGCTGCACTTCTAGAACTGTCAGCATGCATACCTTAGTGATAGAGCACCTGCCTGGCATATGTGAGGCCCTGGGTTTGATACTCAGCACCAAGTGTGTTTTGTGTGTGTGTTCCTTTAAGAATAAGAATGGTTCAAGCATTAATTGAATTCAAAGATTTTAAAATTTAAACATAAATCCATTCATTCAAAAATATTTATGCAAGTGCTTCTTAAAAATCTGTCACTTGTCAGGATATCAGATGGATTGTAGTACCCCAGATAGATAAGTGATTACTTTCAAAGAGTTATAGTCTCATGACAGAGAAAATTAATAGATTAACATATATATACATAATATAATGTCAGATAACAGAAACTCTGAGAAAAAAGTAAGCTGAACAAATAATGAAGAAGAATAGAAGGGCTATTATAGATAACATGGTCAGATTTTACCCTTTAGCCTTCTGGGTCTTCATGATAGAACAACACTCAAAAGTTAAGAAAAACTTAAAAATGAGTGATATTCTGGGAGCAGAAAATAAAATCCAATAGATGGACTGTCAGGAATAGAAAAGAGGATGTATCTTCCTTTAGGAAGATCCAAAGAGCCTGCAATGCAGACGTGGGAGGCAGAATTATGAGAGATGAAATGAAATATTATAGTGACTTGGGTCATAATAATCCAGGAAGGATGTCTAATAGGATACAGCAGTTTAGACTGGATTTGTAATTGAAGGAAGATAAGATTAAGGTGAGAAGTTGCAGAGTCTCCTACAAATAATATCACATTAAGCAACTGAAGAGACTACGTGATATGTGTAACAGGATTATATATGTGAGTGTACGTATGTATAATTATACATGCATGCCTAAGGGTCTGTGCAGTCTGTCATTGTTCTAATGCTATATTTACACATGTATGAGTGAATATATACATGAATGCACTTTTACAAGGATGTTTCTATGGGTACATGAGTATTATCTTAATTGGCACTCAAATTTCTTTTAAGAAGTGCTTTAGGAAAAAAGATCTGATGGGACATATAAAAATGAAAAGATATGTTCTATAAAAATATCTGGAAGGAAGAAGAAAATACACTCCCCAACCCTAATAAAAAATAATAGGGCTGCATATTTCTAGATAAATAAATAGAAAATTAGGGGAGTGGGAAGAGGTGGAAGAGACAGAAAATGGAGAGGAAGGACTTTACCACAGAAAAGTACCCAAGGGATAATTTTAGGAATAGAAATTTCCAGTAATAATTCTAAATTGTTTATATTGTTACAATATAAACCTCCCTAAATGTCTCCTTTGAAATGTTTGCCATACAGACAAGGAATCATAAATGTGGTTTATGCATGTATGCCTGACTTTCTTTTTCCTTTTCTCTCCTTCCTTCCCTCTCTCCCTCCTTCCTTTCTCTCATGGAAATCAAAAGGAAGCAGATTTTCACACCTGGGTTAAAGTACTGTGGAATGGGGATGGTGAGAATAAATCATAAACTACAACAAATTTTTGGATATGGCAATTCAGAGCAGGCAGTACCTGTAATCTTGGGATGGGCATTAAACATCTTTACCTCCTGAATACGTTTTTATTTTTCTAAGTAGCTTTGTGGATACAACCTTTTGCTTAATTCAGGTTGCCACAACTTCTCTCCTAGATTATAGAATTCAATCCAATTCAGTCCTCATGTACACAGTCTTCAACCCATTCCACACAGTGTAATCAGAGAGATTTCTCTAAATTATAAACATGACAACGTCACTTTCCCCCATTCTTCCCACTTCTTTTCTTTGAATGACTCCCTGATGAATTTCACATAATTCTTTTACATAAGACTACTTTCAACAAACTCGACTTTTCCCTTGACAGCCCCCACCTTGAACTCTATTCCAACCAGACCGAACTACTTTTAGTTCTCCAAATAATCCATGTTCTTTCTTGCTTTTGTCCTTTGGTTGAGCTGTCTCCTTTCTTTACCTAGAAGCCTTTCCATATGGGTATGTTCCCATCCCAGTTGAAGTAACTCCTAGTTAAGGTTAGAGGACACTTTTTCCAGGAAATATTCTCTGGCCCCACAAACCTGGGTCATTAGTCCTCCTATTTGGCCCCATATTATCCCTCCCGTTCTGACTTTGTTTCTCATCAGATAATAAGTGACACAAAAGCAGGGAACAGATCTAACTTTTCCACGGGTCTATATCCAGTGTTTAGCATATGCATATATATTTATCAAATGAATGATTACTATGGACAGTGCTTTATTTTATTCATTATATAATGTGTGAATTTAATGATAGGCAAGGTTTTAGGTTCACTCTCCAACACTTCAATAAATAATAAATAACATTTCAAAGTACTACATAAATTATAGCATCTGTGATCCAAAAGAAAGAAACCCTTCCATTTCACCAGTGCCAGAAGTTTTTCAAGAAGTGAAACTCAAAAGAACAGGTTACCAATGATATGACAGGTCCAGAGGCCACTGCACCTCTACAGAGGAAACCAGGCACCATCAGGGAACACGGCTCTAGCTGAAGCATTACTGCTTATATTATCGAGGTGGCCACTTATCCAAGGATATAACCCTGTATAGATTTTAAAAGTATTAAAAGACAAGCTCTCCTGAATAAAACTACATTGTAGAATGGTTGGGATTATGGTAAATAAATGCTATGCTTAGATTCAGGCCACTGATATTTGGGCCTGAGAAGCAGAACCCTCTGAGGAAACATCAACCATTAGCCCATTCACGCAAATGTCTCTGCTCAATAAAAAGGAAAGGAAAAAAACCTCAAGACTAGAAGCTCTGCTCCTCTGCTCCCAGAGGGACTCCACATAATCCAACATCTGGTATTAAACACTTGCACACAATACTGGTAACTTACAGTATAAAAATCACCAAGTTGGTATGGTTTTCCTTTTCTTCGTCCACTCTGATGACTATAAATGTTTTTTTGAATAAAAGGAAGCACATTTGTTCTAGAAGTTAGACGAAAAAAAAGAAGTAAAGTTATTCAGTTTCTCCCAGAAATAATTATCTTGAGAGTTCTAACAATGTTTGATGACATACCTGTTTTTCCCAAATTGCCGATACTCATACATTGTCAGAGACTGGTCATGAGTGAAAAAGAACCCAATAAGTTCTCGGCAGGCCTCACGTCCATTTCTGGAAGAGAATGACAGCAAGGTTTTCAAACAGAATAATTTTTAAATTAATTGTAAACTAAAACTGTGCATCTCAAGAGGGGATAATATAAACCTGAGTTTTGGCAAGGAGGGAAGGTTATGGGAAGCTATAGGTTTCCACACCACAGCTTGCAAGTTAAATGTGACTGAAGAAAAAGATACTTTCCTTATGCAGATATAAGTATGGATATGTCACACTGTAGATTACTAATTCAACACAGATGTTTAACAAAGTAAAACATCTTATAAAATACTGAATTTGCAAGATGACACTCAAAGACATGCATTTATTATCTTTTATTTTCATGGATAGGCTTAAAATCACTGAAAAGTATTATAATTTTAAAATGCACATTTTGTCAGAAATACACACAAAAAAATCAAGCAGCATTATGTATTAATGGAATTTTATAAGACTGAGATAACAGATGCAAAAATCATCTTCCTTGTCATTTGCTCCATCATTAATCTACTGTTAACTAAAATCATTAAAATTACATAAAGTATCTTACATAGAAGTTAAGACAAGTAATATAGAACCTTCTAGTAGTAATATATGTATTATAAATTCACTTCTAAGTTTCTTTTTAAATGATATTTTAAATTACTTTTTAGTCCTCAATAGACCTTTATTTTATTTATTTATATGCAGTGCTGAGAATCAAACCCAGTGCCTCATTCATGCTAGGCAAGTGCTCTACCAAACCCCAGCCCTTAAATTACTTTTTAAATAACTTTTAATTAAGATATTTTTCTTAGAACTTCATATTTCCTATATTTTCTATAACAGATTAATAGCTATAACCTAAAAAATGTATTTTCTAAATTCATGGTTTTTCACTTAAATAGTACAAATTTGTACAATCTCATTATTGTTTCTAGGTGAAAAGAGAATATACCTTTATAATCATAGAATTAAAAAGTTAATATAATCACAATTACCTCGATATGATCCTACCATCAAATTGTACTTTATGAGAAAGCACATTTTCAGTTAATGTAGAGTGGGTTCTTATCCTGTTAAAAAATATATTTTGTCAATAATTTTTTAAAGTACTATATTTAAAATACATGATAAATATACAGAAAGATTATGGTAATGGTTTGGAGCATCATATATTAGATAAAGATAGGAAATTCTTTCAGATGGCTAATGTACCAGACACAGAAGAAATCACTGATGTAGTACGTAACACACAAATGACTTTTATATTAGAATCCATGGTATCAAAGTGCTATAGAAGTGAATACTGAATAGAGAAGACACATTTTTGACTGGCACTGAACCACCTGAAAATTTCTAACTTTCCTCTCCTCCGCTTCCCTTGGACCAGAGAATTTTCTTGCTTAGCTGTGGAGGCCACCTGTGAATTATTTGAGCTTATTTGAGCTGATTTGAGCATCTTCACTCAGCCTTGAGCCAGGGAGATTTAGGTTTGGCATTGCAAACTATTTTGTGGCTCCTCCCACTCAATGGATTGCACAAGGCACATGACCTCTGTCTTTGCTTGGCTACTGAGACCGCTCTCATAGGTCCAGAGTGGGGTGTAACCTACTGGAAACTGGACAGCACACCTCCTATCTTATTTGGCCAAGAACATTCCATGGAAAACCTTTGATGCTTCCCCCATATAAGTAAAGCATGCACGGGCTCTTTTGCTCTCTTTTCAGGGTGGAAGCTTGATCCCTAAGATCGGAGAGCTGAGTTTTCTCCCCATCCTTCCTAAAATTACTTCCTGTGTCCTGTAGTTTCTTCACCGTTTTCTCTTTGCTTTATTTCGCAGCAAGCCTGTTACACACAGAGGAAACCCAAATTCCACTGCCCGCGTGGGTCTGGGGTGAGACTTAGCCTCTGCAATGTAGGGGTGACTAAGAAACTTAGTTTTGCCGATGAGCTTCTAGGGAGAGTTTCATTTTTTTTGGATGAGACAGTAGCCTGAAAAGAGATCCTGCTTGTGAACATGAAAGGGTATTAGTGCCAGGAGCCACGACAGCCATCAAGCATCCATGTCAGAAGGGCCAGTAAGATCTAGGAAAGTCAGTCCAAGGTCACAACATCACTGAGCCAGTAGTCAAAACCAACCAATAACTGCCTCCAAGAAGTCAATATATAAGAAAAATAAATCTTGACTCATTTAGCCATTATCAGTCAGGTTTTCAGTTATGGGAAGCTGAAAGTATTCCTTTCCAAAATAACACAGTGGGAAAGAGTGCTGGATGAAGTTCAAGTCTTGAATTAAGTCTATTGGTTACTTAATCCTTATAGTCTTCAGATAGAACTAAATGATCTCATAAAGTGTGCCAGCCCTAAAACTGTTTAAAAATATGAAACAAATTTCAAATGCACACACTTTGGCACACTATAACTAATATCCTTTTTCTTAAGAGATTTGAAGATTTCAATGATGTATCATTAGTACTCTTCCCAAATAATTTAATATGTTTCCAATAAAACTACAGGTATAATGAAATAGCAATAATATAAATTGTGTGTGTGAGATCATGAAAAGCAGTTCCTCTATACTTCTAGGTCTCTACAAAAAAGGAAGCAGGAGATAGAAAACAACAGCCTGCAGATCAAATGAGAATTTGTGAACACATAGAGGAGACAGGCAAGCTTAGTCCTCCCAATTCAGTTTAATCCACTGTCGTTAATGTATCTATTGAATGCTCACTACATGTCAGGAACAATTCTAAGTGCTGAGAAAATAACAGCAATAACAGCCACCGTTTATTGAGGACTTCCTAGAAACCAGTCAATGGGAAGTCATTTTAATGTGCATTAGTTTATTTAATGTTTGCAATAACTCTGTGTGGTAAGTACTATTGTCCCCATTTAAAAAACAAATTTACAGAGTCAGAAATAGGTTAAGTAAATTGCCCAAGGCCATATGATTAGTAAATGGCAGAGCCAGAAAAAAGATTGCTCTTAATCGTTGTATTACATGGCTTCTCAGCAGTGAACAGAACTCTCTTTAATGGCAATAGGTTGTAGTAACAGCATCAAGGAGCCTAGAGTCTCCTTCAAAAGATAAAAGAAGTAAATACACTGAAACTATTAAATGCAAAGTGCAATGTTGGGTTTTAGGTGCCCAAGAAGAAGCACAAACACTTTTCTCTATCCAAGTTCTGAAACAATAATGAAAGAAGACCATGCATATAGAACACCAAATATGAATTTTATAAAGCTGTTGGAAACCTTGTCTTAGGTATGCAACAATAATAAGCTAAGTCCTTAACTCTACAATGAAAAAGACTAACCCGCTTATTTCCATTAAAGGTGGATCCTGTAAAAATTTAATGTCTAAGGTAAAATGTGTGCTTCTGCAGACAGCTGTTCCCAAGAAAAAGGGGAGAGAAGAGGCTGCCCTCACATACCAATCCCTGCTTCTAAATTTATGCAGAGTTCTTTTCTCCTGGAAGAAGGAAAGAGAGGATGAAATCTATAAATTCAATAAATCTAATCATTGCACCTATAAGATTTTTCATGGAACTAGATTACCTTTAAGCAAGATTTAGGTATTTACTTTAATATAAAGAATACCAATTAAGATAGGTACAGGGAAACAATAGATGAGATAGAAGAAAAGGTCTAGAAATCATTTATCCAATGTCACATATGAAACAGTGACATTATAAGAATGAAAGTGACTTTGTGGTAGGCATATTTCTTAAAGACACAAATTTATATATATATATATATATACATATATCCATGTATACATATACACACATATATATGAAAAGATTGGTAAATTGGTTAAAATTCATATGAGAATATCAGGATGGTCAATATATATATATATATATATATATATATATATATATGAAAAAATACTCAACTTTATTAGCCTCCCATGAAATGCAAATTAAAATCACCAGTGCATATATATAAGAAGAACTAAAATGAAAAAGATGGACAATACCAAGCACTGAAAAAATCTGCTGCAACTAGAGCAGGGTGTGGTAGTGTACACCTGTAATCTCAGCAGGAGGTTTAGGCAGGAGGATCGCAAGTTCAAAGCCAGCCTCAGTAATTTAGTAAGGCTCTCAGCAACTTAACAAGACTCTGTCTCAAAAAAAAAAGAAAGAAAAAGAAAAAGAAAATGAAAGGAAAGGAAAGGGAAGGAAGGAAGGAAGGGAGGAAGGAAGGAAGGAAGAAAGAAAGAGAGAGAAAAGAAAAATGTATAAGGCCTAGGGATGTGGCTCAGTGGTTAAGCACCCCTGGGGTTAGATCCCCAGTACCCAAAAAAATGTACTGTAACTAAATGTAAATTGCATCTAATGTAAATTGCATCAATTAGCTTGAAAAACTATTTACCAGTATCTTTTAAAGCTAACATGTGCATACTAAATGGTCCAGTAATTCTAAGTATTTATTCGGCATAAATGAGTACATATGTTCACTAAAAGGCATGCACAAATAAGTTCATAGCTGCACTATTCATAGCCAAATATTTATCAACATCTATGAATAAATAGTGGCATATTTGTATAACAAAATACTGTATAACAGCAATGGGGAAAACTATTAATAGCAATATGGATAATACAATGCTGAATAAAAGAAGGCAGATAATCAATGACTGATATTAGGGGAAATAAAAGAAGGTAGACACAGAGTTCAAATTTTGTGTTTTCACTTATATAAAGCTCATAACCAAGCAATTCTAATCTATGATGTTAGGATACAAAGGTTCACCTGGCATGAGAAAGAAAGTGAACAGTAACTGGGGAGCAGCATGAGAGGGTTTACAGGGTCCTGATCATGCTTTGTTTTTGATCTAGGACTTTGGAACATGAGTATTTTGGTTTGCATAATCCTTATGCTGTACAATTAAAATTTGTGCACTTTGTAAAGTGTACTTTATTTCAATAAAAGTTTAATTTAAAGGGTAAGTTTAGATGTATGATAGATAAATGATAGCCCCCAAGGATATTTATATCCTAATGCTTAGAACATGCAAATACTTTACATAATAAAAGAGACAAGGTTGCTTGTAATCCCAGCAGCTCAGGAGGCTGGGACAAGAGATTGCGAGTTCAAAGCCAGCCTCAGCAAAGAGTGAAGTGCTAAGCAACTCAGTGAAACCCTGTCTCTAAATAAATATAAAATAGGGCTGGGGATGTGTCTCAGTGGTCAAGTGCCCCTGAGTTTAATTCCCAGTAGTCCCCACCACCAATAAAAGATAAGGCCTGTGAGGCTTTTAAGATATGGAATTTACCAGGTTTACCCAAGCATGTTCAATGTAATTACGCTAATCTTTATAAGAGGGAAGCAAAGAGAGAGATGTGTCCATAAAAGAAGAGTGTCAAAGTGAGGTAGCATAAGAAGACTCTGACCAATCATTAATGGCTTTAAAGATGGAGGACAGGGCCATAAGTCAAGGTATTAAGGCAACCTTGAAAAACTGCACAGTACAAGGAAATGGATTGCCCCCTGAAACTTAATCCAATCCTGCCAACACCTTAATTTTAGACTATTCACTTCCAGAACTGTAAAAGAATAAATCTGTTATTTCAACATACTAAATTTGTTGTAATTTTTTACTTAAGTTCAAACAGAATAATATATGATACTTTGAAATATTTAAATATATGGAAGCAAAGGCTTTCAGAAAATTAAAACGAGAAAAAAAGATAAAAGTAATAGGAAAGTACAAAGATAGCAGACTGAAATACAAAACAGCTACTGTAGATCCTGGTAGATTTTCTGTCTATTAAAACTGAGTCTACAAGACAACTGTCAGGGAAGTTGCTAAGGAATTTAAGTGCAGTGAACTATATTGGTCCATTTCAGTTGTGATACTTTGGATCTGAAAGGTACCACAGAAGACCATATGATAAAGGTACATTCCCTAGTTCATGGTGCTATTGTGAGGTGGTAGAATATTTAAGAGGGGTATCCTAGATAGAGGAAGTTATGTCATTAGGAGTGTGTCCTTGAAGAACCCTACTGGACCCTGGACCCTTTCACTACCCCACCCCACTTTTCTGTTTCTCAACTGCCACACTCCTGCTGTAAAGTACTGTGCTGCCACAGGTCCAAGCCACAGAGCCAAGCACTATCAGCTGAAACTATGAGTCAAAATATGCTTTTTTTTTCCTTATTAAGTTCATTATTACATAAAAGCTGATTAACACACCAACCTAAAGGTTTTTATAACACACAAAGTAAAATTAAAAAATAATTAGAACTGATATTAATTTTATCAGTGATACTTGGACAGAATATATTGCACAGATACAGATGTCTGAGCTACTCTGTTATGTATTTTCATATATTACTCCTAAAGGTTACGTAAATTTTCCCCTAAATTATAATTAAAAAATTATAGGGCAAAAGGGGTATAATAAGGTATGGTTTCCAACATCTTAAGGTGGCAGAACTGTGATCTGGACTCCAAAAATTTCACTTACCTTTATATAATAAAAAAGCAAAAACAAATAAAGCCTTTTATGTTACCCAGAGAGATATATTTTAATAATTCATTGATAACATAGTGCAACCTCATTTCATATAATTAAAATCTTACTTTGTTTCATGTAGTGTTCTTTTCCTAAGTCGAAGAGGATGAGTAGTTTCTTGTTTCTCAGTGGTTACATTTTGCTCTGGATCACTGATGACAGCCCTACACAGGAAAATATGAAGTCTAATAATCAAGGTGATAATGCATTACTCTAGCATTCATATATTTTTAAGCAGCTGGAAAAGATCAAACACTAAATGAAATTTAAATCACTATTAGAATAACATTTTGCCAGAAATGAGTAAATTTAATTATTAAAAATATTGGCCATAAAAATTGAATATTCCTATCTCTTATTCCATAATTATTGTCTAAAAATAAATTGAAATTTTGAAGGATGCTAAGTGCTTCATGTCTTTCTTTTACTACTCTTTAAACAAATAGATACTACACTGGTTTCTGATAGAGGAAAACACTGGTAAAGAATATAATAAGAATAAAAATGCAATAAGAATAAAGTAATGAGTACGATAATAGAAATTCAATGGGCAAACAGAAGATGACTTAAATCCTGGAAAAGAATATATAAGAAAGATTCCACCAAAGCCCTCAAAGAAGAGATGTCCGCACTGCCTCTGAAAAGGTTAGTAGAAGTAGCTGTTCAGAGGAAAGGGAGTCAGGATATCAAGAGAAGAGCAACAACAAATACAAGGCCGCAGGATTAGAGCAGCACAGCACACCTGAGCAGCTGCACAGAGGGCAGGGATAAGAACACACACTCTGGGGCTGGAATACCTGGGTTCAGCCCTTGCCTCTTCCAGAAATTAGGCGTGTGGCCTTATCTAGTCTTTTGACTTTAGGGTACAGTTTCTTCACTCATAAAAGAAACAATAATGAGCTGGGCATGGTGACACACTCCTATTATCCCAGTAGTTAGAGAGGCTGAGGCAGCAGGATCACAGGCTCAAAGCTAGCCCCAGCAACTTAGCAAAATTCTAAGCAACTTAGTGAGACCTATCTCAAAATAAAAAATAAAAAGGGCTGAAGAAGTAGCTCAGTGGTTAAATACCTAGTTCAATCCTCAGTACCAATAATAATAATAATGATGATAATAATAATAATAGTACCTCTTTCAAATAACTATTATGAAGATTAAATAAATTAGTTAATACATATTATTTAGAGGAGTGTCTATCATCTAGTGTTAGTGAAGTGCTCACTCACTGAGCTTATGCCTCCCTGTTCCCATTTTATTATGTTCTGCCAAATATGAAATATGAACAAACACAGAGTCATGACAGGCTATTAGGTAACACTGCAATAGGCTAGAAAAAAGATAGCAAGGTGGCATTAAAAATAGATGCAATATAATGGATTTGAGAAATACTGGAAGAACTAGGAGATTGACTGGCTTTAACATCATTAAGTAGAAAAATCTACCGTAATCTTACAATGTGAAAGGAGTTTCATTTAATAATGTAAGGAATATGGGAGTCATATTACAGTTTTGGTTTGTCATTATTGGTAATAGTATTTTAATGGCAGAAAGGTAATCTATCCTTACTTCTGTCTTTACCCAAATACAAATTTATATAATCCTTAACAACCTTGTTGCCCTCTCTTTTTTTCCTATTTCCCTGGCAAAACCCCAAGTCAGAATGAATTGATGATGAACTGGTTAAAAGAATAAATACATAAGCCTTTTTGAAAAAGGTATCATGAGTCTTCAAAAAATACAAAGATAAACAGCAAGTCAGAGATAGAAGAATTTATGAATTTTTTCAGTTTCTTCAATTGCTTAAACATTCAGGAAAAGCTTTAAGCATTTCTACCTTACACTGTAGGTACTTTCTATTTGTGTGCCAAGTTATGAACCAAACAATTTTAAGCTGAGTATAAAGATAATTTTTTTTTAATTTTCCTGGTGAAGAAGGCTGGCATTTACCAAAAAATGGCACCTATTCTGTTCTCACACCTTCACAGGTATCAGTTCTATGTTAAATAGACACATAAAGAATGTTAGAGTTATAGAAATCTTAAATGTTCTTTTGGAAGAGGCTAAAATCAAGACATACAGAAGGAAAATATGAAGGCTCAAAAAGTAATTTTAGTCACATAGCTAAACATAAAATTCAGTTCTGCTGACCTAATTAGTCCTTTTTTCCAGTTCATTCGTTCATTTGCCCATTCAGCAAGTACTTAGTGTACAGATACTCCACTAGGGAACAGAAATGCAGCAAAAATGAACAAAACTTCCAAAGAGACTGGCTTTATGGAGCAAGCAGACAATTAACATGATGAATAAGTAAAGTAAGAGGTAAATTACATATTGATAATTCCCATGGAAGGAAAAACAAAGTAGTAAGAGGCTATAGAGATTTGAGTAAGGGAGTTATAACTTCTTATTTGGTAGCCAAGGTAGATCTCAATAAGGTGACTTCTAAATAAAGGTAAAGTGAGCAAGCAGCAATATGGATTTATGGGGAAAATGCATTCTAAGCAGAGAGGAAAATATATGCAAAGTACCTGAAACATTAGTAGAACCTGATATGTTCCAGAGCAGGGAGCAAGCCAGAAGTAGAGTAGACAGATGAGAGGAGCAGGACTCCAAAGTCTAACAGTAAGCAGATCAATGGTGGGACTGAACACTATATTACTGGCCCCAATTTTTCAGCACTCCTGATTCACATCCTTAACATGGCTTTATTATAAGTGAAATGTACTTCCTCTCCCCTTGACTTTGAGCTTAGCCACTTGACCTCCTTTGGTTAATTATATATAGTTGGATGATTCTGCTAATCTTAAATGCACTGATTCATGCAAGTGTGGATGATCTACAATGATATACAAAATCTGCCAATCTACAATGGTCCAAGCTAAATAGTCCCTCTGCATTTATAGAGGAATCTTTTACTTGAGACTATTTGGCTATCCAAGTATTGTTCTGCTCTCATGTATAGTAGATGCACAAGAGGGTAAATTGAAATATATGAGGTCTCTTACAACCTAAGCTCAGAATGATGTGATCATTTATTTTGTTCATATATAACTGGCCAGAGGAATAAGTAAAATCCATCCATCTAAGCCAAGTCTGGACAGCAAATCTAAAGACACATTAGCAATCTGTGTATGGGGTGAAGGTGGGAGTTCATAACCCACTTGAATCAAAGTGTGGAATATGATATGTCAAGAAATTTGTAATGTTTTGAACAACCCACAATAAAAAATTAAAAAAAAAAAGACACATTAGCAAAAATTAAATGCTGTTTTTTTTCTTGAGAGAGAGAGAATTTTTTAATATTTATTTTTAGTTTTCGGTGGACACATCTTTATTTTATTTTTATGTGGTGCTGAGGATGGAACCCAGCACCCCACAAATGCCAGGTGAGCACGCTACCGCTTGAGCCACATCCCCAGCCCAAAATGCTGTTTATTTTAAGCTCCTAAAAATTACTTATACTTACATATAAGCATTGTAATTTTATTATTATTGGTTTGGTTTAATTACTGGATGGTTTGATCTGTCTAAATAATTTTAATAATTTCATTCTAGCTGCTGGGTTGAGAATAAACCTACAAGAGGCAAATGCAGACACAATAAGAGCAGTTAACAAATAAATGAAATAATCCAGGAGATAGAAGGTAATGGTTGAAACAAGGATGGTGGCAAAAGAAGGAATAAATTTATTTTAATGGTGGAACTGAAAAATGTCTGCTGACAGACTGGATATAGAATTTGAATGAAAGAGATGAGTTAAAGGCAACACCAGGATTTAGACCTAAATAATTTCAAGAATGGAGTTTCCACAGAGGAAAATTAAAGAGGACTGGGTCATGCAGAAGAACCCAGACTGGAAAATAAAATTGTTAAATTGAAATCTTAAATTAGAGGTGCATCAGGATACAGAATGTTTTTAAGAGCATGATTCTAGATGAAATCACTAGGAGGCAAATACCGAAAACGTCCTAGGCAGTGCCATATTTAAAGACTGGGGAGACGAAGAAGAACCAGAAAACAATTAGGAGTGGAAAGTAGGGGGAAAAAAACAGTCAAATGTGGTGAGCAGGAAGTCAGTAGAGAAGAGAAAAAAGTGTTTCAAAAAGAAGTAAGCTTTCAACAGAGCCAGTGTTGCTGATGGGGCAAGTAAATGAGAACTGAGAAACCACCATTTGTCTAGCAATACGGATGTGACTACTTACCTTATGAAGAGAATAAGGTAGTAGAGGTAAAACATAAGTCAAGTCCATGAGATGATAGACTATAAAAATAATTGTTTCAAAGAACTTACTGAAAAAATATGCTTGTAGGATTATCATTCTTTCCGCTTCCTAAATAAACAACTTTTTCAGGTTGATCTTAAGTCTTACTTTTTCCTTGAAGAGTTCCTGCATTAGTCCAGCCTCTTCTAAAATCTTACCATATTTACAAGCTGTCATACTATTTAGCACTGCATGTAATAGAATTTTATATAGTTTTCTAAGGAGCTTTTAAATTCTTGAAGATTACTCTCACAGTTCTCAAACTGCATAGGGGAACTGTGGGATATTAATTTTTAAGGGAAACAGGCATTCGCCATCTTTTGGATATCATATAAACTACTAGCTGAAAGTAGCTGACAGCTTCAACACAGGATTATGTTATTCTTTCTTCAATGATGTTATATCTTTACAAGAGTTCTCTACAACCACTGTAATAAAAAAGCAAATATGTGAAAATCAATGCAGAATAGAAAGTGATCCTAAATGATTCTAAGATTTAAGAGATTGTTCAGTGCTTAAAAGATGTATACAACCCATTAATAAGCAACTGTGACAATTTAAGAATGAAATAAATATATTTTCTTCTAATTTATCAGCATCATTTTTTCATGTGGCCACAAAGTTGTTAGGAAATAGATACTTAGTAAGTTGTTTAGAAAAAAGTTCTTAATAAATAGAACTATTATGTATTTCTATTGGTCTAAGGGTGCTCTGAAAAAAATTACTAAGACACTAAGAGTGCATTGAAGAGAGAGCTTGGGAACCTCTAAGTCAGCTATGCCTTGAGTGACCAGGGACATGTGTATCATGCATGAAAATGAAATTCAATGAAAACTTTTGGAATGGATTTCTATTACCAGTTACTAACTCTCACCTAGATAAGTGGTCGATCATCATTTGCTCTGTGACGGTCTGTTTCTTCTTCTCTGCAGCCACAATTTCCTGAGAAGATAAAAATAAAAACACTTTTATTATCCATAAAGCAGAAGAATTAATACCAAAATCCTAAAAAAATAAACATTTCTAATGTTGCTCTTAAATACAGATTGTTATCCATCATTAACATACTTAAGCTTTAATTATTTAATCTTAACTTACCATTTTCTAAAAAGTAAAGCACTTAAATTTCAATACAAATCATCAGACATTTCCAACAAGCTATAGAGTCAGAATAAAGGGTAAGAAGGATATGACATGCCCCCCCTTATTACTCCCAATAAGATATGTCCTACCAAATGTATCTTAACCTGCTACAAGAATACCAATACAGAAACAAAAAGAGTGCAGTCTAAAACTATTCACAGTTGAAGAGGCTGAAACTGAAATAGAATCATTCAACTTTACATCAAAAATCTAAAACTGAAACAGGCACGGTTGTGCATGCCTGTAATCTCAGCAACTGGGGAGGCTGAGACAGGAGGACTGCAAGTTCAAGGCCAGCCTCAGCAACTCAGCAAGACCCTAAGCAACTGAGCAAGACCCTATCTCAAAATAAAAAATAAAAAGTGCTACAGATACAGCTCAGTAGTAAAGCACCCCTGGGTTTAATTCCCAGTTTTAAAAAAAAATCTAATACATAACAAAAGAATTCCCATCTTTAAAAGGAAGATAATCTTTTCTATGTCTGTCTTATGGTTTCAGTATGAGGTGTCCCCCAAAATGTTTCTATGCTAATGGAGGAATGTTCAAAGGTAACATGATTGAACTGTGAGAGCTGAAACCTAGTCAGTCCATCCTAGTTTGAATGACTGAGTGGTAGCTATAGACAGGTGGGTGTGTGTAGAGGAGGTGGGTTACTGGGCCTGTGCCCTGGAAGGGTGCTTCTTCTTCCCTGAAGCCCCTTTTCCACCCTCTGCCCCTCCCTCTCCTTCCTAACACTGCCATGAGCTAAGCAGCTTTCCTCCTTGGAGCTCCGAAACCATGAGCCCTAAATAAACTTTTCCTCCTCTAAGTTGTTCATATCAGGTATTTTGGTCACAGTGAGGCAAAAGATGACTATAATAGTATATAATACCTTAATAATATCTAATCAATTTTCCTTAATTACTGGTTTTATTAAACTGTCTTCATACTATTTTTTATTTTTCCAACTCATCTAAAAGCATTTTTACTACTTTTTAGGTCATATCAAATTGGAAGATTTGCAATCATTCAATTCTAATTAGAGATTACACAACTATAAACACTAAAATATTTCTTTAGGGGAAAAATAAAAGAAGTTAAAAATTAAGAGGTCAAAACAATGCATGTCCTATTCTTAGAATGTAGTTACCATATCTCTATTATTGACTCTAATAAAAAAAAATCAACTAAGATAATGTTGTTTAAGACAGAGGCTTTGCAACTTCAGGGAAGGTGTTCAATTTAAAACTAACACAAAATATCAAGTAAAAGCATATTATAAAAATAAAAAGTGAAAATTTCTATGAATGTTTATATAATAAACACTGGAAAAAGTGGCCATTATTATATAAACATTAGCCTATAATTGAATTTAGTGTTTTTTGGTAGAAATTTAAGATGTATTGTTTACATATCCAAAAATACCCAAAATAGCTTTTATATCTTTTAATACATGACTGTTTCTTATGCTATTCTCTAAGTTCATAACACACTATAATGATTTTTTATTTAATAGTAAATTTAAAATGGCAATTAAAAAAGAAAATTATATAACCCACAGCTAAAGCAAAGAGTATTTTATAATACTTGAGGATGATTCAAAAAGCAGACAGTAAAACACATTGAAATTATATACAGAAGAGATCCACTCCAGCCAGAATGTAGATGAAAAACTCAAAACCTAGACAAAGACGAAGATTAATGACTCTCCTAGAGCCCATGCAAAGGGCCACCTTCAGTGCTAAAGTTCATGGTGGTTTTTACTTTGAAGGGAAGATTGGAACCACCCCCAGTCACATTGATTTAGAGGTCTGTGAAAGCATAAAGCAGATTAGAAACAGAAGTCACAGGAATACAAAAGAGCTGACAACACTGAAAAATAACAACAGCACCAGGAGAGGGGCATAAAAACCATAGTGTCACTACTTGTTGTTCCTTTAAGTAGCTAAAGAAGTTTGTACCTCCATCTTTAAAACACATTGGTGATCATTTCAAATGTCTGAAAAGCCTACTCATATCCACATTGCCATGGAGAAACAAAACAGATAAACAAGTACTACAGCAAAAAAAGCAACTCAAATTACTTGATGGTCAATTTATATACATCGTCACTAATAATGTCAATTCAAAGAAAAGAAATATACTACCACCCGGATGGCTTTGGGTTATACCAAGAATAATACCCAATGGGCCCTAAGTATAGGTGATATCCATCTCAAATACAACTTCAGAAAATAAACCTTATTGGGGACACTATTTTGCCTCATAATTTTGTTATTTTTACGATGACCCAAGTAATACTACTAAGCATAAATATGTGAATAATAATATGCATAGAAAACTACATGCATGTGATTTTAATGGAAGAACTGCAATAAATTTGAGACATCCACAGACTATTAGCCTGACTGATCCAGAGATTAATTACACATCATTATCAATTCATAATATATTGATTCTAGATGACTGCAACTCAAGTTAAAAAAAAGTATATACACATACACACATATATATACACACACAATAGTTTATCTATACAATTGTATGTGTATATATAGTGTGCATACATAAACATATGTATATATATATATATATTGTGAATATATATATCTATGTATATACACAGATATATGTATATATATTGCATATATATGTTGTGTGTGTATATATATTTTTTAATGATAATGTAAAATGTAACTAGCTAAATCCATGTTGCTTTATTATTATTTGGGTTATCTAAGCCAGAGCTTTCCCATCTCGTAAGCAGAATCACAACACTCGTATTGCATGACCTTTTCAGGATGTCTAAGATACTAATCACCTGGGGTTCTAGGGGATGAGCACACTCCACCTTCAAGCAGTTTGGTCCCCTTACCATGGGATACTACAGAAATATTATACTTACCTGTATATACCAGAACTGGTCTAAGCACCACCTATCAATCTATTTAACTGTCAAAAATACATACTCGAAAGTTAATATTGAAAGTCTGGAGTTTTGCTTCAATTTTATTAAAGAAAACGTCTTTAATTCCTGGCTTTTTCCACAACTGGCAGAATCTCTGTAATGATAGTAGCCTATGAATTTCAAAACAATAACTAGGCATCTGTTTGAAGGGAGGATGTGATACCAAATAAGCCCACTAACATAAAAAGTGGCCAATTAATATTTTGAACAATATAAACTAAATTTTTGTAAATAAAATGCAAGACACTTTCCACAGAAAATATACCAAACACAAGTTAATCATTTATAAAAATAACAACTCAATTTATACATCAATGAATATTCATCTCAGTCCAAATTCAATTGTTGCAATTTTTCTAAGTCTGTAAACTCTTGGAGGGTAATGATCCTAATGACTTATCATATAAGAGAGTGCTGAAGCCTGACCGCATCTGATTTCCTTGCGTTGTGCTGTACATGTTGAGAGTTGTGCACATAGTCACTCTGCAAGAGGGCTTTCCTATCCAGAGTTGTGAGGTCATCCAAACTGTTTTCTTCACCCTGTATACACTGTATAACGAAGCAATAAATGGACCATTATACACATATTTTGAATATTTGTATTTTTACAAAATAAGCAACTAGATAATGACTAAATACCTCAGAGATTACTTTTATAGGAGTTTTATAGTACAAACTATGACAATCTGATTGCCTCTCTTTGAATCCAGCTCTTCTACTTTATCTTTGTGCCTTGGTTTACTCAGATAAAATAGGAACAATAGTAACTACTTGACCAAAAAGATTAAATGAGATGGTACATGCCCAATTCTTATAAAGAATACCTGACTAGTCAAGCGCACTGGCACACACCTGTAATCCCAGAGTCTCAGGAGGCTGAGGCAGGAGGATCACAAGTTCAAAGCCAGCCTCAGCAAAAGCAGGGCTCTAAGCAACACAATGAGACCATGTCTCTATAAATAAAATACAAAATATTTTCCTTGGTACCCAGCCACCCCCCAAAAAAAATTACCTGACAAACTAAACATTAAATAAGAGAATGATTTTAACTATTACTGTCCATGTTGAGTTATTGTGAAATTAATAAATTAAATTCAGAACCAAAATACTAAAATATGGTGGTATTCTCTAAGGTAAAGAATTCTTTGGGATTGTCAAAAAGACAGAACGACAAATTTTTCTATGAATATGAGATATACTTATAATGACTTAACTAAAAAAAAGTTTCATTATGATAGCAACTTGTCAAAAACTTAACAAACTTCAAGAATTTTTATCCTATGGATTATTCTTACTTTAGATCTTCCTGAAAGATCACGCTTCAATTTCATACTCTGTTCTTTCTTCATGAACTTTGGTGGGCTACATGAAATTTTATTACATATGTGTTCATGATTTATTGCCTGTGTCTTCTATTATAAGCTCCATGAGGTCAGGAACTTTTGTCAATTTTATTGCTGTATCTCTGGTGCCAGAAAAGCATTTACTACTGGGAAATCAATCTATGAGAATATTGAATAGTCTGATTTATTTAACTGCCAATATAATTCTTTTCCCTAAATAATGATTTATTTAAATGGGCACCAAAAAGATGCTTAGCATTAGACAAAATAAACAAAGTAATTTAGTAGATACATTTAAGCATAAGCAAAGCTTTTTTTCACCTTGTTTTTAACACTTTACCAAAGGAAAGCAGTGAGTGATATTTCTACTTGATACATCAAATTTAACCTCCCCAAATCATACTTCCATATAGTCTTTCCTCAACTCTACTGAAGGTCAACTGCTTAGGCCAAAAGGCTCAGAGGAATTTTTTCATTTTAAATTATTTAATCGATAAAATTGTGTACATTCAAGGTATATGATGTGATGATTAGCTATACATATACATGTGTAATAATTACCACAACCAAACTAATTAATTAATGCATCCGTCATCACAAATAGTTATGCACACAGGTGTGAAAACACTGAAAATTTCAATCAAATTGAAAGTGAAAACTACAATATTAGTAACTATAGTTACCAACATTACAATAGTTCCCCAGAATTTATCATGTAAGTGAAATTTTGTACCTTTTGACCAACATCTCCCCATCTCCCTGGCAACCACACATAAGCAAGCACATAGAGCCCTTGCTTTCTGCTCCTGGCTTATTTTAATTAGCATAGTGTCCTGCATATTCATTCATGCACAGCCATTCTTGCTCTTCCCTTTCTCTCAAGCCTACAACCCATCTGTAGCCAATCTTCTTAGCCCCACCTTAGCCAGAATCTGAAGTCATGAGACCACCTCTTATCCAATTCTGTTGCTACCACCGCCTAGATCCAAGTCATCATCTTTATATCCTGCCTGGTTTACTGTGACAATCTCCCAGAGGTCTTCCTGTTTCCAAAGTTGCCATATTCTTAATTAAACCCTTTCTTGACAGAACTGAGCAGCTTTCTGCCTCAGGGTGAAAGGGCAAAGTCGTTACCTGTAAGGAGCTACTGTGATCTGGCTCCCAGGCTCCCTTTAACTCTCTGCCCAGTCTCCTCCCAACTCTCCCAGCTCTCCTTCCTCCTCTGACCACATTCTGCTCCTCAAGATTTCCTAAACCATCTCAGTTACTCCTACCTCATAACATGAGTTTCTACTGACTGGTTGGTTTCCATCTCTCAGGTGAGAGCTAAAATGCTATCTTATGGAAAAGGTCTCCCCTGCTGACCCTAAACAAATTACTACCCCATACCTACATCCTGGCTCTCCCTATTCTCTTCTATTCATAGCTCTTATTATGACCATCTGTGATGCAAAAATGGGCTGGTTGGTTATGGAATGCATTGATTGATTATGTTTTCTTCTTACTATCTCTTTCCTTTAGGAAATAAGTTCTATAACAGCAGAAATTTTTGTTTGTTTTATTCCCCTATTCCCAGAACAGTTTCTTGCATATAGTTAAAACATTCAATAAATTCAATAACTATTTGTGGAAAGAAAAAAAACAATACATTAATGAATTAAATCATTTCTATAACCAAAAGGCATTTGTCTTTTAAAAAGCTGATGAAAAAGATATATCTAACCTGATTAATAAATACAATTAATGAATTAATATGATTTTCTTAAAGTTGAAATTTAATAATTTCCATATTTTATTTAAAGATGTTTCAGTATTTCAGATAATATATACATGCACACATGAGAGTACATTTTCAGTAGAAAAAAAAATGGGTAACTAGAAATTCACCACCATTTTATACTAAGTGGTAATAAAACTCAACAAAGGAAATTTGGCATTAGAATCAAGTTCCAACTGATGATTTGTCAACTTGTGTATCAGCCTGATAAGTCAGTACCTATGGCCTTCTGTTAATGCCCTGGATCCTAAATACATCTAACCTTAACTTTTCTTCCTCAATAAAGAAAGTCAATTTACATGTTTCTTTCTGCTCTAAAAAGAGGGGATCCCATTTCTAAAATCAAGGACTTCTATTTCCAAACATTATAATGTTAACTCATGTAATTGTAGTAGAATTTATCAATAACTCAATTATATAATAGTCTTGATAATCACAGTACTACACATTTTAAAAGACCTTTTGTTTATAAAAGCTCTTTTGCAAAAACACCAAAAATGTGTTAAATAATTTCACCCTTTTAATGTATGTTTTAAAAAAAATCAAAGAAATCAAACAACATCTTATCTAAGCAGAAAATACACATAGATTGGCTTCTGTAAAATATCCATTCTAGATAAATATTTATCAGTCATATAGAGAGATTTGCAAATAATATTTGTTCCTCTCTTCAAACAAAAAGTAAACAAGTGTCCTCATCTGAACTTGTGTTCCAAGAAATTAAAGTTTCCCTTTAAAAATATTTTGAGCTATTTTTCTGCCACTCAATAGAGCATGTGCTTACAGAAACCTACAGTCCCAGCATATTTACGGTGATCTTAATATTACACTTTGCAAATAATACAAGGCTGCTTGGTAAAGGTTGTGAAACTATCCTATAATAATATTATAGATATCAACTGATAATGTTTGCATATGTTTAGATCTGGAAATTTGTTTTATGATAAAAAGCAACCAAATAATTTCATTAATTTTGTTATTCTTTCACCTAAACATGATTTATTTAGTCCTAGATAGTTCATACATGGATTTTTAAAAAATAGTTGCAATGCCACACCTACTTATAAATTTCAATTTTTTTAACCTATGGAAAATAAGCAAGTAAAACCATTAAACTTCCAAAAATACATAATTCTTATAGAAGGTTAACTAAATTAAAAATCATATCCAAATATTCTCTTATTTTTGGCCTGTAGTACCATAAACTGTTTTCAAGCCTTCCCAAAAATAAAGATTGACTTCCTGAATGTTTATGAAATACCATTAAGCTTATCACGTTTAATTTGCTCTTATATCCATAAATGCTGAATTTTTACCTAATAAATATTAATGAAAGCATAACAATTTCAGCAATTTGTAAGGTTAAAAAAATCTAAAAATGAGGCAAAAGTCAGTCAGGAAATAATGGCAGTTTTAGAATAAAATAGGTCCCTATATATTCTGAGGTTTCAACTTTAAAACTTAAAGACTATACTCCCACAGAATATATATATGCACATACATATTCTTACTCCATTCTCAAAGCAAGTAAAAAGCTTCTAACAGAAAAGATAATTCTAGATAAGGCTAGAATTTCTGCATTCAGAAAATGGCATAATAACCCATTATGTTTTGTAGAAAAAGCTAGCTAATATAGGTAAAGTAATTACAATAATATTGGCCTGGCCTACTGAGACAAATGTTGGCTATTGTTAGAAAGAGATTTCTATAACCCATGAATTATTTGCTTTAAATTTTAAATTTTAAGAACTCTCACTTATTACCTTTTCATCAGTCTTGTTTCTTGAAGGCTGTTGATGTGTGATATTTGATTTTGTCTTTTCTGAACTTCTCTGACTATATTGTGTATATCCCTCTTTCATTTCAGTTTTATATGGTTGATATTTTAGCTTGTATTTGCCTGTTGGTGATGGCAAATTTTCAGGTATTATGTCCTGTTCCTAGAGGTAAAAAGAAAAAAGTCTGTTGTTCTCAGAAAAAAATAAATTACTATAACTAAATTTCCTTATTGATATTAACAGATTTACCATTTACCTCACCATTTATGTTTAAGAAATGGACCATTATAACCTATGGTCTAAACAGAGATGATATTTAAAAACCTTGAGCTTATATGGCATTGCTGACCAATAAGAGCCAACAGAACTGCTCAGAATGAGCATTTGAATACCAATAATCTTACACTTGATTTCACAGCTGAAGGTCAATCCTGGTTTCAAAAGAATTTGAGAGAAGAAAAAGAAACTTTTCCTTCTTCTGACAAGTTTTAGGTAGACACTTTTTTTGTTTTCCATTGTCAATCATGTCTTCCAAAATAGTTATAGGAATTGGAGATCACGAATGCTGAGAAGCACTGATTGCCATTTCTGAAATATTGAGATATTCTGCCTTCTGATATTATTTGATTCCATGCTACATTTTCATGGGAATGAGAGATAATAGATAAGAGGAACCAGTGGATAAGAGGAACCAAAAAGAAGTTTTAAGCAAATGCAAGGGCATACATATTGATCCAGAGAGGCATAGACATTTCAAAAGGAAAATATAAACCAGTCCATTCCTTGAAAATTATTAAGGATATCCAAATTTAACTCAGGAAAAAAAAAAAGGGATGAGGCAAAACTTAAGGACAAAATCTGTAACAACATACAAATTAGGATACTTATGCAGTTTTCAAAAATGAGACTGAGAAAAGCATGAATAGAACCAGCTATATGATGGAGATATGCAAAGATAGAAAGGTAAGTACTATTCATAGAATAATACTAGTCAGAACCTGCATTCACTAGATATTGTTTAAAATGTAAACATGCCCCAAGGAGAAACATTGGATTAAGTATAGTTATTTATGTACTCCATAGTATTCTAGTAGCCTAATATATTAGAATATAGCTGTATTTTACCAATTTTACAAAAGAAAATTTTAAAATATCATTCCAATGTGTGAAAAAAATATAAAACAAACTAAATTATTTTACCATCGTTATTGTTTGAGATTTTCAAACAAAAATTTCTGGATCAAATATGGTGCTAATAATGCATACTATAATTCTTAAAATTAGTAATAAGCAAATATATACTAACCAGTTCATTTAGATGATGCTGAGCGTATGGTATTTGACCTGGTGAGACCCAACCAAGAGCAGATGACTTTGGTGGGTTAAAATGATTATGCACCATATTAAGTGGAATATATGAAAAATCATCCTAAAAAATAAAATTTAATTGTATTTTAGTATATGCTATGTATAATATAGTGGTCAAGTGTTTATTATGTTAAATAGGAAGTAAAAATTACCTCATCATCAGAGCTCACAAGGCTTCCCAAATCAAGTGGTGGGACCCTGAAAGAAATAAGTATATATCTTATAACTTTTTCAAATGAAACTTTGATAAATGCACATCACATATGTTAGATCACATATAAAGCCACACTGAAGCTAATGGTATTCTGGCTCCCACCAGACTGTGATTATCTTTTGTTAAATGTACAGGGATTTTTCGGCTGATGGTTAAATGCAGTCAATATTAAAAATAAAATTATATAAATTTGTGATTAAATAAATTATATTAAGAACAAAGGTAATAAATACTCAAAGTTCATCGGTTCCTAATGATTTCACTGGACTATACACTCCAGAGGCTCTGTGTACTCTTGTATCTCTATTGTGATATAATTGTGCCCAACTTTACAACTTTGCATTTACTGATTTGACATGGACAGTCTAAAATCAGTCATGATGAAATAGGCAAATGCTATGACTCAGGGCTTGATTTATTACTTTGTTGATTTCTGAGACTTGAAAGTATGGTGGAGAAAATGTTAATAATGCGGATGAAATTAAGAGTGCATCATGTCCACAGCTGTCAAATAGTGAATAACAAAAAATTATTTCTATATTCAATATTATTGATTTTATCAGGAAATAACTCATATCATTTTACAGTAAAGAAAAATAGCTTGAAAAATCACTTTAGTTCACATGGAACTACAATGGTTCATCATAGTGAAAACAGGTTGGCTACAGTTCAATAAAAAACAAAGAAAGTATTCTGTGACCAACAATTGGCTAACTGGACACTACAATAAAGAGTTATATGTTTTACTAGCATTTGTAAACTTCTTGCTACGTATACCTCTTATCATTAAGTTATAATAAACTTAAAATACACTTAAATTTATTTATAATAAAAAAGTAAAAAAAAAAATTATAGTAAATTTGTAATACACTTTTGGAACACCAGTCATTAAATATTTACCAGTATATAATTGACTACTGCTTCCCACATATTCAGTACCTTGTATCTTAGTACTCAATACCTTGTATCTGAACATAATTCTTTATGTCCAGATAAGCAGCAGATATCTACTAGGTAGAACCACATGAAATTATAGATATTGGCTCATTTTAAATGTAAAATACAAAACATAAATTAATATATTCTAAACCAAAACTCAAATTTTAATAAGTTTGTTTAAGTTGTAATATACCTCAAAATAAGATTAGAGCATGGGTATATATTTGACTATACCAATTATAAAAATAAAAATGTTATATATTTCTTTCACAAATTCATTTAGTGAATTATTTGTTATTTATGGAGTCATAAATATATTTAACTTTTATGATTTTACATCTCAATTAAAAATAAACTGAAATTTTAAAATATCATAATAAAAATGAATTTTTTTTAATTTTTATTATTGGTTGTTCAAAACATTACATAGTTCTTAACATATTTCATACATTTGATTCAAGTGGGTCATGAATTCCCATTTTTACCCCATATACAGATTGCAGAATCACATCAGTTACACATCCACTGTTTTACATATTGCCATACTAGTGTCTGTTGTATTCTGCTGCCTTTCCTATCCTCTACTATCCCCCCTCCCCTCCCCTCCCCTCTTCTCTCTCTACCCCCCTCTACTGTCATTCATTTCTCCCCCTTGTATTATTTTTCCCTTTCCCCTCACTTCCTCTTGTATGTACTTTTGTATAACCCTGAGGGTCTCCTTCCATTTCCATGCAATTTCCCTTCTCTCTCCCTTTCCCTCCCACCTCTCATCCCTGTTTAATGTTAATCTTCTTCTCATGCTCTTCCTCCCTGCTCTGTTCTTAGTTGTTCTCCTTATATCAAAGAAGACATTTGGCATTTGTTTTTTAGGGATTGGCTAGCTTCACTTAGGATAATCTGCTCTAATGCCATCCATTTCCCTGCAAATTCCATGATTTTGTCATTTTTTAGTGCAGAGTAATACTCCATTGTGTATAAATGCCACATTTTTTTATCCATTCATCTATTGAAGGGCATCTAGGTTGGTTCCATAGTCTAGCTATTGTGAATTGTGCTGCTATGAACATTGATGTAGCAATATACCTGTAGTATGCTCTTTTTAGGTCTTTAGGGAATAGGAATTTTCTTAATAAGTAAATATTTTACCTTTTTCAGGAAAATAATATTAAAGACAATAAAACAAAAGAAGTTTTACTCATAATCCTACCATTCTATCACAAGATGATTTTGGCATAATAATTTTTAAAACTTCCATATACAAATAGGTTTTTCTGTAGTTCCCAAACATAGGTACACACATAATTTTTCTTTCATTCTTAACTTGGCAAGGCATCATAAATATTTGCCCATTAACCAATTCAAATGTAAAGAAATATTACTTACATAGGTGAGTAGGGATTCGGAGTTGCCCATGATCTGGAAACCCATCCTTGCTTTAATTTAAAAATAAAAATTAGAATCAGTATGCATATACCCTTTATGTTTTAAATGACAAGCAATGTATCAATGCGAAACTAATTATAATTTCTTTCAATAAACTCTCTATAAAAATACTTATTAAGCTCTTCTTGCTGTCTATGAGGCGTAGATAAAACAATATATGCAAGACAATTATTACCCATATAGCACTGTCTGTTAGAGAAGACATCACTCAAACAATAACAAGAAAAATAAGTCTATGACAGAGCAACCGTGTAGCAAGTGTACCCATCCTACTCTAGGGAATTAAGGAAATTTTTGCAAACCAGAAAGCAACCCTTAAAGGGAGTTCTGAAGAATGAGGAGATAGCTAGATGAAAAGAAAAGGGAGAAAACCACTTCCACCAAAATCAACTTACTGCTGAAATGTTATCTAATCGGGTGTTTTTTATAATATTGATAGAAGCATGGGCTGTTATTTTCAAGACTGAAATTTATGACTATAATTTACCATCAGAGTAAGAGATACAAATTTAACTCAATATCAACTTTAATATGACATTGTTTCAAATACTATTCTAATATTTAAGATATGGAAATGGCAAGATTCTAAAAGAATCATTTAAATGAAAAAATAAACATGTAATAGAGGCATAAAGGTATCATGTTAACTTATATCCCCTTGCCTAACCTGGGATCTGAACAATTTTTCATGTTCTTATCTCTATTTATCTGTTGTTAGTGTTTGTAATGATGATACTTGTACTAATAAGTATCAGATTTTTTTTAAAGAGCTTATATGTTCTCATTTTTTAAATACTATTCTTCTTAAAACACTCCAGAAATAGCACCTAGTAATTAGGCTTCAACTATATTGACACCTGGCTAATAAACTGTAAGAACAATCTGGGATTAATTAAAAAAAAAACAATAGTTCAAGATAAGCATAAACATGTCCCCTAACTCTACCACTAGATATAGTTAGTAAGATATAAGGCAGGTTTTATTTTTACAGAAAAAGGTAATTACAGAAGCTATTATTTTCAGAATTTAAACATTGATATCTTCCTAATAATTAACCAGAGGGGGAAAAAACCCTGAAGTTTCCATAATCTGATAACCAAGTAATCAGAGGAAAAGGCTGTAATACCATGCTTGATATTTTAACTAGTGAGAAGGGCTTCGACCCAAATTATCAATGACTTGAAATTTTTAAACTGTAAAATAGTAAACCATAAGAACTCCAAAGCATTCACCCATTCATATAGGGAGCTGGTTTAACCTAAACTAAAGATCACAGGTCTTGAAGTCAGAACTAGAGTTCAAAGTACTAGCAAGTCACTTAATCTCTAGAAACCTGAGTTCTTGCATATCTAAAAGCAGCAGGCAAATAATAGTGCCCACCTCTAAGGTTCACAGTTTGATTTATATGTTATTCAGACTTTTATTATGGTCAATGATAATCAGTAGGTATTCAGTATCTATAATAAAAATAGCAAAGAGATGTGTATCACTTTCATATACCTTTAAATTAAATGTCCCATTTATCCAATTCTATGTGGATGCAGGGACAAAGTAACTTTAAGATTTCACTTAATTAATTGATGAAATCTACAACAGTGGTATTGTGAAGGCTGAGAAGAATAAAGGTCCTAATAATAAAAGCCTGGATTCTCTTCCTGCATTGCTAATAGAAAATGTAATATTCTACAAAAATTTTAATTTTGGTTTAAATATAAAAATTGCAAGTTGGATATTTGTACTTCTATCCTTTTGAGCATGCAGTCATCACGACCCTGCTTCCCTTCTCCACCTTTTTTGCAAATCAAATGCTAATTCTAGTGCATACAGATGTCATTCTTCACTGAAACCTTCTCTACCTTTGCCAAACCAATCTTCTTTCTGCCTTTACACTTTTGTAGCTATTTCTTTAGTTGAATTTAACACTCGGAATCATAAATCTTTAAGATTAACTACAGGATCATTTATTACATCTCATTTATTGTTGGGTCTTTAGCACTTCGAATTGCACTAAACACATTATAAATAAAAAAATAAAATTCAAAAGAATGTAGTCACAGAGATTCTATTTTAAATAAACCTAGTGTACATTTTTAAAAAGTTTGGTTTATGATCTTCTAAAACTTCCTCTGAATATAAATTATACTATATATTATATAACCACTAAACACATTTTTAGAGTTTTTAATAATATAGAAAATGCATTTTAAAAGTAACATAAAATTATATTTGCAGTTTGCAATAGTGTACCAATTATACATAAACCCATCAAAATGTAATAGGGCACATACTCATGAAGGAAATATTGATATGTTCTTCTCTCTACTATTGCTTCTTCTTTTAGAATTTTTATGGACACGTGGATAATTTTTAAGTAACAATAATAAAATGATCAGCATGATTTTAAAAAAAACTAACTCAGTGAGTTTTCAAGTAATAATTAACTTCAATTTCGGTGGTTCCATTTTTCAAATCTAGGAAACATTAATCTAAATATTTGTGAATATAATTAGTTATCAAAGCATGAAGAAAGGACTCATAAAATTATTTAATGAGTCATCATGAAAGAGAAAAACTAGATTATTTACATACTTGTAGTGGCTTCTTTCTTCTCAGGAGTAGCTGAGATTGGCTCCTAGGAGAAGTAGCCACTCCTTTTACCTCTAAATCCATTCAAGTTCCCGTATTTTTCATGCAGTATCCTGGTACTTTCAAAAAGGCAAAACAAATGTAAAATGATAATGCCTATCTGGTTTTAAATAAGTCATACAACTTACATAATAATACTTCATAGAAAGAAATCATATGGTCAATCACTTTTACTTCTTTCATCAGAATCATATTTGTATAGGGCAATTACATTATACCCTGTGGTAGTCTGCTCCCAAAGAGATCCCCATTGAAATGTCTGGACTCTAAATATGTACCTTACATGGCCAGAAGGACTTTTTAGATTTGATTAAGAATTTTGAGATGGAGAGATTTTCTTCTACTATCTGGTGAGCTCAATGTGACCCCCTTCATGTCCTTATAAGGGTGGGGGGAGATTACAGTGAACAGAAATGTAAGGATGGAAGCATAGGTCAGAGAGGAGCCACAATGCTCTGTGGCTGGCTCTAGAACTAGCTCTAGGATGGAGGGAGAGGTCACAGACAGCTTCCAGAAGGCAGAAGAGACTAAGAATGGTTTGTCCCCTGAAGCCTCCAAAAGGAAACAGCTCTGTTGACCACAGTGGTTTTAGATCCTTTAGGCTCATTTTGTACTCTGACCTCAAGATGTGTAAAAGAATACATTTATGTTGCTTTGAGCGACTAGTCTGTGATATTTTTTTTTACAGTAGTAATAGCATACTGCTATATCTCTCTTATCCACACAATGAGACATATGTTTATTCAGTCATTTACCCATTTCCCAAAGCTTGGTGGATTTTCCTTGTGTCAGGGTAGGCTGATGAAAATATTTTTAGCAAACAGTATTCTTTACTTAATACAAAGAATCAAATAGAATGAATGATCCAATTAGTAACTATGTGGTAACTATGTTTTCAAAAGACCACTGAAAATAATCAACTTTCAAATACATACAAAATAAAATCAGATTAATATATCTGTCAACAAAATTGGGTGTATTTTAGTTTATAATTCATCTTTATATTACCAATTTAATTTAAGAATTCATTCATATTTCTTCTATCATTAGACTTGGATTTATTTTTATAGCAAACTATTTTTAGTTGGTTTTTTTAAAAGAAAGGTAGTATGGCATAGTGCCAGCTTGAGTTAGATAAATTGTATTAAAATCCTGAGTTTTGCTACTTTCACATAATTTAAGCTTGGATAAGAACTTAATTTCTAAGCCAACGTTCCTAATGTATAAAATAAATTTACAACTTACTCATTTGCATCTTTCTCATTTTGATGGAATAAAGTAACATTCAATAGATGAAAACTATGGTTATTATTAAAATTGTGCTTTTATTTCAGGCCCACTACATTCTTCTTACCTGAAATCTCAGTTCCTTTCTAACTCATCTGTGTGGTTTCCTTTCACCCCTAAAAAACTGTTGCCTTAAGCTTGAAATTCTACTCTTTTTTTTTCCTTTTTTTTTAGTTGTAGTTGGACACAATACCTTTATTTATTTCTTTTTATTAGGTGCTGAGGATCAAACCCAGCGCCTTGAACATGCTAGGTGAGCACACTACCACAGAGCCACAACCCCCCTGTAATTCTACTCTTAAGAGTACAATAGATGAATGGATAAAGAAAATGTGGTATATATATATTCAATGGAATATTACTCAGCTTTAAAGAAGAATGAAATTATGGCATTTACCAGTAAATGGATGGAGTTGGAGAATATCATGCTAAGCAAAATAAGCCAATCCCAAAACAACAAAGGCCAAATATTTTCTCTAATATGAAGATGCTAATTCACAATAAGGGGGTGGGGAACACTAGAGAATAGAGTTACCTTAGATTAGGTAGAGGGAAGTGAAGGGAGGGGAGAGGAGGGGGTGTGAGGATAGGAAGGATAGTAGAACAAAACAGACATTATTACTTTATGTATATATAAGACTCCATGACCAATGTGATTCTACAACATGTGCACTCAGAAAAATGAGAAATTATATCCCATCTATATATGATATATCAAAGTACATAAATGCATTCTACTGTCATGTATAACTAGTTAAAACAAATAAATTTTTTTAAAAAAAAAGTAAATTCAAGCTGGGCATCTTGGCTCAAGCCTGCAATCCCAGTGGCTCAGAAGACAGAAGCAGGAGGATCATAAGTTCAAGGTTAGCTTCAGCAACTTAGAGAATTCCTAAGCAACTTAGTGAGACATGCTCTCAAAATTAAAAGAAAATTAAAAAAGAAATGGGAGGGGGGTACTAGGGATGTAACTGAGTGGTAAAACACCCATGGGTTAAATTCCCAGAGGCCCCCCCCCAAAAAAGAGTAAATTCAAAATTGATCAACCAAGAGTACACATATTCTAAAAATATCACAAATCATCTGATTATAGGAGTATTTTCTCCTATAATACTGCAAATGGCTTTCTTTTCAGAGTTATCTTTCAAAAAGAATCAACTTTTTAAAGTTGTTATTTGTTTGTGTTGTGTGGGTGCTCCCCACCCCCATGGGTAGTTTGTTTAATAGCATCACAAAAGTTATCCTATTTGCTACGATGATTACCAGCTAACAAATCCAAGTTGAGACTACACTGAGCAGTCAGCTAAGTGATTTTCTCCACTCTTTTTCTTATTTTTCTCCCAGCCTCTCAACTTTGTACCTTAATAATTATCACAGCCAGTTCAAATCACTATTGGTCATCTTAAATCGCTACAATTCATTTGCATAGTAATAAAACTGGAAAATTTAAACCTTCAAATATCCTGTTTCTCCTAGTCCCTGTGCTTCCCCAGGAACCACAGTCATCACTCTTCATTGTAATTAGCTTATTTCATTTCTCTAATAAACTGTCACGACCACAAAGTTTGATATCTCTTGCCCTTAGTATAACATAGGCACCTAACAAATATCTACTTAGTTAATAAATAAGTTAGTGCACCACCAAATACCTGTACATATTTTAAAGATATTCTTAGGTTAGTTGCACTTCTCTGAATCTAGTTATGACAATCATAATGCCAACATATAAATCCTGTCTTCAAGCAACTGGATAAGGTGTTTGAATGGAAGCAATTATTCATAGCAATTATTACTCAATATCGAACTGTAAGCCTCATAAAGGCAAGGACTACTACTGGTTTTATTTAACCTTATCTCAGGACCTAGCAGAAAGCCTAGAAAATAGTAAGAACTTGGTATTTGTTGAATAAGTTAATCCAGTCAATTCAGATACAAGTTAATTCAGAATTACATAACTTAAAAATAATTAATTCAGATACAGTTAAGAGTGTTCAAAAGGCAGTGCCATCACACATGGAACACTGGCATCTACAAAATTAGTGCGGTCAGGTCACCAACACCCTGGAGACTCTTAAGATTTGACCAGGGCTTCAAAGGTAAAACAGCCCAGCCTTCTGATTTTCAAAATGAGCAAACTGATACCTGGAAAAGTGAATCTTACTTTGCCAAATTGTTTGCCAGTTATTGCAGAGCCTGAATTCGTAAGAAGGTTTCAGACTTCTTCACAGTACTAAACTATGCTGGTACATACAGATACTAGTTGCATCAGAGAGGAATTTTGCTGCTGGGACTACAGAACACCAAAAACCTAAACTTGGGGACCCAAGAATCAGCATTTCAAACAAATGGCTGGGAATCCATCTTTGGAATGCATACTGAGGCAGATGGGTGGGGATTGAATAGGAGTTGGCAGGAAGAGGGAAGAGTACTTTTGAATGGCTTTGGTCCCCACTCAAATTGCTACAAGTTATAAGATGTTTTTGCTAGCATGTAATAAGTGTTGTTGACTAGTGTCTTTGATGCAGCCCAAAAGAATTGAACTCATCTCCCACTTCCCTCACTTTTAACAAGGATTATTTCCAATTCCAATTATCATCATTTCTCTCTTGGTTGCTGGTGGCTATTAAGTTGCATATGCAAAATCAGAACACAATATAAAGCAAAGAATAAACTGATCTACTCCAGGAGAGAAGGAAGAGATTCGTCAATACAATTCAGTATTTCAGCTCCAGGAGGGTAGAACTAAGTCTTTCTTGGATCCCAGGTGATAACTGACGCTGGTATCTGAAATTGAACCTGAGGTCATTGTTAATGTGAAACAAAGCACAGCAATCTTCCTTTCCCAAACATCACTGCCCTCTCCCCACAGTTAAATTATACTTCAGAGCACCTGCAGTGTACCATAAGAAATTCCTCATCCAGTTCCATCTGGGAATCATGAAGAGGCTAGGGCCACAGGGAACAGCCAGCCTGACTTGACCTAACAAGTTCAGTAATGCCCAGGTCCGGACCAGGAGGGCTGGAAAACGCATAAACTAGGGAGATTCCCCCAGAACCCATTCAGGCGGCGGTGTCGAACAGCACTGGCTGGAAGGGGCAGGTCCCTGGAGAGGCGACACAGCAGGCCAGCGTCTGCAGGTTGCCCGGCAACAGGCGCCTCCACTGGGGCCTCTAACTGTCGTCTTTCGCTTCCAAGCGGAAAGACGGTCAGCAGCCCGCCTCTTTAGCTCCTTGCATGCCAACTGTCACCCCCCAAATATGTCTGCGGTACCTTCGCCCCGCGGGCCTGCGCCCCGAAATTCCGCTGGGCAACCTTACCCCGCATTACGAAGTGCACTGGCTGGAAATCTTCTTAGGCCCCGCCAGCGCCACACCAGGGACCGGCTCCGGGAGCCCTTAAACCCAGGCGGGGAGCTGGAACGGACTCACTCCCAGCGCTTCTCCCGCGCAGGGAGAGCGCCATAGCCCGGCATGGATCCGCCGCAGTTGTGCGATTAATTGAATAGAATTATATTTAATATATTTCTTAGGTAACTACATTTTATGCTTAGCGCCCAGATCTGCTGTCAAGGAGCTTGCAATTATTCAAAAAGACAATATTTCAGAATAACATTATAGAGAAATATAGATATTAAACAGATTTGGATATTAATTTAAATAAGTATGCACGTATGTACATTTACATTATCACATATATGTTGCATGTGTGTGTGTATATATATACATATATTCTATATAATATGTAAAATTGCATTTTAAAATGTTGGTGTAACCGAAAGGGTACAGGCCTAGAAATCAGGAAACCTCGTTTTATTTTTTACCGTACTAAAATTTTAGCCTCACTCTGTACACAATTTCTTTGAGCATCAACTCCTTACTCATAAGGTGAAAAACTGGTTTCATATATTATTAAGGTTCCACTCCAATATAATGTACGACAGCTTTCCTAAATTATACAGCCAAATGTCAGATACCCAAATTAGAATTAAGATGTTATGAAGCCTAATCTAATTCCCTTCGCACAAAATCATGTTGTTGTTGTTGTTTTGTAATCTTTAGTATCTTTTCAAAATTAGCACCCCTCAAAATATGTATCCAAATTTACAAATTGAAGGCATTTTTAGAGTAAAAATATACATATATTTTTAAAACATTAAAATAGTAAAACTGATGGATATAACATAATCACTCCATTTCTTCTCTACACTCCATAAAATTCATCCACCCATTATCCCGAAAGAAAGAAAAGCAAAAATCAACTGTTAAAAAATTAAACAGAAACAAAAAGCTAAACTTTTAAAAAATGACTGAAAAACTATAGTTGTCAAGTAATCTTAGTCATTCCACAAACCGATCAAGAAAACATCTTTAAGACACAACCTTGCCTATTCTTGGCACTTAGGCTTAGTACACCTCAATTGTTTCAGTATTTCTAAATATAATTCCCTAAACCACTAGAAACATGGTCTAAAATACCACACCTATAAAATTCAGACATTTTGTTAAGACATTTCTTTTTCTTTTTTTTTTTTTAATTGACTCAAAAATTTGTACATATTTATGGGGAAATTTGTTATGTTTTGATGCACATATACATTGTGTAGCATTCAAATCAGGATAAACAAATCTATGTCATGAAACACTTATCATTTCCCCACAATGAGAATATTACCAATCCCCTTTTCCATCTTCTCTATCACAATCTCTCGTCACCCTGCAATAGAACACCAGAACTTATTTCTATAACTAGAAGTCTCTAGGCAGTCTCTTTGGTAGGAAAAAAAAAAAAGAAAGAGGAAAGAAGAAGAAGAAGAAGAAAGGGGGTAGGGCGAAAAGAGGAGGAGGAGGAAGAGGAAGAGGAGAAGACAGCAGCAAATCAAATGTTTAAATGTTTAGCAAGGTAATAACTTTGGATCACAGTATGACAGCGAGTTTACAAATCGCCTACTTTAATCCCGAGTCTCTGAGGAAGGGGGCAAAGTTCTGCAGTAGTTTATTTAAAACAATACGAATGCTATACACAGAAGCTGAGTCTGTAAAACTAATGCATAGGGTTTTCCACAGGGCATCCAATTGTCAGCATCCAATACACCTTGTTCTTTGTATAATGTGGTGCCGCCTCCATGTTGCAACTGTATTACAATCCAGGCAATGACTCAAGATGATCAGAGCCTCAGAAAGCACTTAGGATCCTGAGTCAAAACTCTGCAGTGCCGCGCTGCGCTGGGCAGACTTGGTGGGGGCGGATCCTGCCTCGAGCCCGCCCTGCCCCGAGGGCTTTGCCCAATGAGCGGGGCTTCCCCGCGCCGGCTCGAGCTCGTGCAGAGGATGGAGTCCGGCGAGAGCGTGGTCCCTGGGGCGGCAGAAATCCAGCTTCCCCAGCCGTTACTGGTTGGTGCTGTTGGGACACGGTGCTTGTCCCTCCATGGCTCTTAAAAATCTTATTAGTTTGTGGACCTTAAGTCTATGTGTAGCGGCCAGCAAACTTCCTCCAGTCCCGTCCATCACAGACCCACAATTTATAGACCAGTGCGTCCAAGCCCACAACGAATGGAGGGGCAACGTCAACCCCCCGGCGGCCGACATGAAACACATGGTGAGAAAAGAACCAGAACTGGTCTCCTATTCTTCTTGTTCATCCCAAGGTATCCGGGCCATACGTTTCGTGGACTTATCTCAATACAGCCAGGACTCCACTTGCGGTTTATAGAAAACTCACACCTTGGCTAGGCTGTCTCCTCTAGGGTTGTGATGGAGTGGAGGAGATGGGAGCTGTTCTTTCTGTTCCTTTTGCCTAGACATAAGCTCCCTGGGGGCAGTGGTAGGGGGGGAGCAGATGGTGTTTGGAAGTTGCATGGTCTTCACCTCTAAGGTTCGTCTGTATTTTGCAAGGGTGTTTTTGTTTGGTTCTTTTGTTTTTCTCTTCTATTGGATAGTGCCTCCCATCCTGCACATTCAAGATTCTACATATAAAAGATACATACAGTAGAGTGATGGGAATTCTCTCATAATTTTATATTTTAGAAACCCAAGTTTAAAACAACACAGTGGTGTAGTATTCATTTGAAAAATAAAATGTTCTACAAGGATGTGAAAATCAGCTCTTGAACAGTATCAGATGGTGATTTTCATGAAAAAAATAAATAAATTTGTGAAATTTAATCCCCCAAACATTGCACTGGTTGTATCTTTCTTAGACCTCCACAGTAGGGCCAACAAAGGGGAAAAGAGTTCTGTATGGAAGAAAAAGCAAAGAGAACATTATGTTATTAAAATAATCATAGATTTTACCCATTTTAAACAAATTCTTGACCATGTATTACTTGGAATTTCCTTTGCATTGTAACTTTTTCTTGCTTAATACCACCACAATGAACATAAATGTATAAATGTTGTTAGTATTAATCTCTCTTACCATGCTATGTAAATTGTAACTCAAATTTATTCCAGGGGTTTTGCTTTGTTGTTTTTTGGTACCAAGGACTGAACCCAGTGGTGTTCAACAAGTGAGCCACATACCCTGCCCTTCTGCCTCAATCTCCTCCTCAGCCACTAGGATTATGAGCATCCACCAAAATGTGCAGCCAGTTTTCTTTTTTTTCTATCTGGAAGAAAATAAAATTAAAATTTTTTCAAAAAAGAAAATACAATGGATGCTATTATAAAATCATAGCTCAAGCACTAAAGTTCAGAACTATAATGTTATACTAATGTTATACTATATAGGAGAGTGAGAGTTTTTTTTTTTTTTTTTTGAGTGAAGGAAATTTTAAATAGATTTTTGAAAGTCAGACAAAAACAAACTGACCACTTTAAGAATGCAAAATTTTTAAAGTATTTTCATGTATAATGTTTAATCTCCAACTGATTGGGGTAGTCAGGAGTATGTTATTTGCTTGTAGTATTTCCTCTATGTTTATTTAGACAACCCTCACTAAAAGACTATTTTTTTGCTATAAAAATGCTATGTGATTTATATTTGTGTAGGCAGAAGAGAGGAAAAGAAGGAATAAGGTGAAGAGACATGAATAAAACTTGAGTCTTCTTTAAATGTATCTTGTTTTATAATTTGACTCAGTAAACATGTAAAATTATTATGTCCTTTTTGTATTTTAAACAAAAGGAAAAGTATCCCTTAGACACAAACTTAAAAAAACTAATATATAAAATTGGCCTCCAATCTACACTTTTAAAAATTTTATAAGCATTTCTGCAATATATTATTTCAACTGTACATTTCTAGTACAATGAACTTTGAGGAAAAAAATAGCAACAAAAAAACCTGAATTCAGAAATGTTAATGCTTGTGTGATTTTTGTGAAGTCTTTTGAAAGAATTCTATTGCATATTGTATGATGAAGCAAAATTTTATAATTTATAGGAATTAAGACTTTCTGCATAAAAAAGTAGATACAAGAATATAGTCAAAGACATTAAAACACTGTAATCTTTAGAGTGAAAATCACAGCATGAATTCATGATTTCTTACTTAAATAGTTATACCTTAACCTTATCATCGAAGAAGTATACAAGCAATGATATCCATTAGCAATGAGAATTCATAGCAAAATATTTTCATAATAACGGATGATTTCCTTGGAAAAAATGGCTGAATGTAAGTGTGAGGCAGAAAACATGCAAGAAGAATCCGGAACACTAATAACTTATCAGAAAGAAAGGAAGACCCAAAGATTAATTGATTCATAGTAAAAAGACAAAGGACTCTTATTAGGATGAAGTTTACTAAGTACCATTAGTCTTACTATAACAATGAGGGAATACTACAGAAAGTAAAAGGGGAAAAATAAAAGTTATTATCTTTAACTGCATTGAAGAACTACGGATGCAAAATGATTAAATGAATTACCTTTAAGAGAAAGGTGGCCCTTACTAGAATACAGCACGTATCTTTGTTTTTGTCACTGGGAAAGTTATGGAGGCATGAGGCATTGGTAGGTAGAAAAACCAAACCTGCCATAAGCCAAGCAAGGTGGTGAAGTTAATGGAAAACTGGACATCTTGTAATGGCTGTGTGGCTATTATGGAGGACTGAAACCTAGAAGACACCCAACCACAATAATTCTTCAATTCTTTATGCCTTTTTTTTTGAGAGAGTGAGAAATAAGTGCCAGTATTAGAAAGCTGGATTTAGGCATCCAAAGCAGAGTGCTTTAACAAAGCCCTGCTACACTTAAAGCCCAAAAGGATGCATCTTACTGCACCTTCAAAATTCTTGAAATAAGAGCTTAACTAAAAGTAATGTTCAGTGCCAACTGAGAACAATCACATGTTAGACTAAGCAAATAAACTCCTAACCATAGCTACTCTTAACATGGGCAGACTAAAGGACAAAACTTTGAAAGGAAAATTATTAGTTTCTGGCATACAATCAAAATACAGAAAAAAATATTTAAAAGCCAGTAGATGTAAATCATGCTAAACTACCAATTGAACTAGAACAAAAAATTACCCAGAATTTTTAATTAGTAGACAGAGTATGTTAAAGAACGTGTGTGTGTGTGTGTGTGTGTGTGTGTGTGTATATATACACACACACAATTAAATAAATACACACACACACACACACACAGTCCCTGAAAGGAAGTATTCATTGGGTGGGTTTACAAGAAGACTGGACATAGCATAAGAAATTATTGGTAAACTCAAAGATAAATTATTAGAAATTACCCACACTGAAACACAGAGGAAAAAAACAACCCAATAGCAACGGTAGAAATAACAGAATGCTGGAGACCTCTGGAACAAATTCAGATGATTTAACATACACATATTTGAAAGGGACAGAAGAAGTATTTGAAGAAATAATCAGCAACAATTTTCCAAAATTTATGGGAAGACATCAAGTCACAGATCCAGTGTCTCAAAACTCAATCATCTAAGCACAACAGCTAGTCACACGAGAGTCAAACTGGTGAAAATAAAAGACAGGAAATCTTGAAAGCAACCAGAATGGGATAAAATAAATATTTCATTTTGTAAAATTTAAATATAAGGCTGAATTCTCTTCCTGCAAAATTGAACTCAAAAGACAATAGAATTTTAGCCTATAAAGGTCAGAAGGGACTGAAAAAAAAAAATAGAAGGCTAAAAACACTTTCAACATATGATTACTTGCCCACTGAAAGTATTCTTCAAAAACAAAAGCAGGTAACAGTGGCGCATACCTGTAATCCCAGTGGCTCCAGAGGCTGAGGTGGAAGGACTGCAAGTTCAAAGCCAGCCTCAGCAACTTAGGGAGGCACTAAACAACTCAGCTAGGCACTAAGCAACTCTAGCTGAGTTGTCAGCTAGACCCTGTCTCTAGATAAAAAAGGGGGGCTGGGGATGTGGTTCAGTGATTAATCCCCAGTACCAAAAAAAAAAAAAAAAGTAAAATAAAGCTATTTACAGGCAAATAAAATACTGAATATGAAAATTCAATTCAAAAGCAGAACAGCACTGTAAGAAGTACTAGAGAAAGATTTTAAGCTTTTAGGAAAACAATCCCAAAAGGAAACCCAGACCTAACAGAAGAGTCCCAAACAGACTAGATGTGGGGTTAAATATTTTAAGTTTTCTTTATATTGCCTTCATATTGTTGACTACTTAAAGCCAATGTAAGAATTTCAAGATGCCTTAATAGAGGTACCCAGAACTCACTCATTCTTTCACAAAGAAAAACTGAAGCAAGAGGTATGTAGCTCCATTTTATGGTGCGTGACCATGGGAGAATGCTGGAAATGAGTGAGAGAGAAACTTGAGCCTTATTAAGAGTCAGAGACCCACTAAAACAGCATAATAGGGGAAACAAAATACCCTGGCTCCAGAGCCTGCATGGAATGGGTCTTCATTCAGCAGGAGTGAGGGTGAAAGTCTCAGCCAGCCCAATCAGTATGTACGGTTGCTGGCAATCCTAGCTATTGGAAAGCTTCACAATCCCCACAGGCTTTCAGCCTCCTTAAGTAAATAACTTGAAATCTGCACAGAAGTCTGGCTTTGTAAAAAGATCTCCCATCATCTCCAGTAAATCCCCAAGATGCTGAAGCCAGGACCCATCTTGAGAAGGGACCTATTGTCTGAATTTGGACTGGACTAGGAGTCAGAAACCTCTGGTCATAGTTCCAGGACCCTAGAGATATTCCACTGCACTCTGTAGCTGCCTTCCAAACCACTCACAAGAAGGGCTCTGACCTAACCTGCCATGTGGCCTGCACAGTATGGAATCAACACATTGATTTGGAGGAGAAGGGAGCCACCCACAAGAACCAGGAGCTTCTGGAGCTTGCCCTCTGAGACTAGGGGCATGGCAGGTTACATTCAGATTCATACTGATGCCACAACTGAGTCACCTACCTGCTTCCTGCCACCCCTGCACAAGTACCAAACACAGGTACCTGTAATGAACAGGGTCGGGAAAGAGCTCTGTGGATTCACTGCTAGCATGCCAAGTTAAGGCAGCCTTGAGCAAAACCACAGCTTTAGTTATTACCCTGGTCCAGGACATATGACCAAAGGGGATCTGAAGAGAAACTTTGCCTGGCTCTGGCCATGTTCCACCCTAATTCACTCCTGTGAGCACTGCACCTGAAGGAATTGGAAGGAGAAAACTTATGGCCTACATAGCACCCAGAGGCAGGTGCCTCCTCACCAAAATACTAGCAAATCAAGTACAATAGCACGTAAAAAGATCATATACCAAGATTAAGTTTGTTTCAATCTAGGGATGCAAAGATGGTTTGCATCTTTTGCAACATACACAAGTCAGAATTTGAAATTCAGTAAATGTAAATCACATCAACAAATGAATGATAAAAAGTGTATGCTCACTCAATAGATGCAGAAATGAGCATATGATAAAATTCAACATCCCTTCATAAGAGTCCTCAAAATTAGTTATAGAAGGATCATACCTCAACATAATAAAGGCTGTACATGACAAATCCACAGCCAACATCATACTGAATTGTAATAAAATGAAAGCATTTCCTCTAAGCCTAGGTATAAGACAATGTTATCTACTTTCACTACTCTAATTCAATATAGTACTAGAAGCTTTAGCTAGAGCATTTAGGCAAGAGAAAGAAATGCAAGGCATATAGATAGTAAAAAGAAGGAAATCAAATTACTCCTGTTTGCAGATGATACTATTCTATACATAAAAAAAAAAAAAACACCTAAGGACTCCGCTGAAAAGCTATTAGAACTAATAATTAAACAAATGCATTAAAGTAGCAGGATTCAAGTCAACACAAAAAAAATCAGTAGATTTTTCTATACACCAATAACAAATTTGCTCAGTAATAAATTATGAAGGCGGTCCCATTTATAATAGCCACACATCCAAAAATTACTTAGCAAGAAACTTAACCAAGGAAGTAAAAGACCCCTACAATGAAAATTCTAAAATATTGGTGAAAGAAATTGAAGAACACACACACACACACACACACACACACACACACACACACTAAAAAGAAAAGATCTTCCATGTTCATGGATTGGAAGAATTAATATTGTTAAAATGTCCATCTACCCAAAGTGATCTACAGATTCAATGCAATCCCCACCAAAATAAGGATAGCCAGGCGCAGTGGCACATGCCTGTAATCCCAGCAGCTCAGGAGGCTGAGGTAGGAGGATCACAAGTTCAAAACCAGCCTCAGCAATTTAGCAAGGCCCTAAGCAGCTTAGCAAGATCCTGTCTCAAAAATAAAATTTAAAAAGGGCTGGGGATGTGGCTAAGTGCCCCTGGGTTCAACCCTGGTACAATAAACAAACAAAAAACCCATGACATTCCTCACAGAACTAGAAAAGCAATCATAAAATATATATGGAAGGACAAAAGACCCAACATAACCAAAGCAGTCTGAACTAAAAGGGCAAAGCTGGAGGCATCCCAATATTTGATTTTGATTTTAAAACATTCTACAGAGCCAAATCAGCATGGCATTGGCATAAAAAAAAATAGATACAAAGGCCAATTGGGCAAAAATACAGAATCCAGAAATAAACCCACACATCTATTGCCAACTGTTTGTCAACAAAGGTACCAAAATCATACTTTGGAGGAAAGACACCTTTAATAAATGGTGCTGGGGAAAGTGGTTATTCACACGTAGAAGACTGAAGCTTGACCACTGTCTTCACTCTGCAAAATCAACTCAAAATGGACCACACATCTAAAATATAAGATCTTAAATTCTGAGCCTATTAGAAGACAATAGGGAAACATTTCAAGACTTTGGTACAGGCAGGAATTTTCTGATAGACCTCCAAATGCATAGGTACAACAACAAAATGGATAGATAGGTTAAATTAAAATGTTCGTATCCATCTAAAGAAATCATCAACAAAGTCAAGAGACATTCTACAATATATGAGAAAATATTTACCAAGTAGAGGGTTAATAACCACAATATATAAAGAACTCAAAAAAATAACTTAACAAAAATAGTCCAATTTAAAAATGGGCTAATGGTCTGAATAGACACTTCTCAAAAAAAAAAAAAAAAAAGAAAAGAAAAAGAAAGAAATACAAATGGTCAGCAAACAAATGGGAAAAAAAATCTCATTATCATTAGCCACCAGGAAAATGCAAATCAAAACTATAATGAGACACCATCTCACCCCAGTTAGAATTAGCATTATTTTTTTTAAAAAGGAGGACAAGAATGTGGAGAAAAGGAACACTTATACACTGATACACTGTTGGTAGAAATGTAAATCAGTCCAGTCATTATGGAGAACAGTATGAAGTTTTCTCAGAAAACTAAAAGCAGATGTACTATATTATCCAGCTATCCCACTTCTGGGTATATATCCAAAGGAAATTAAATCAGCATATAAAAAAAAACTGCATACCTGAGTTTATTGTGCTACTAGTCACAATAGCTAAGAAATAGAATCAGCCTAGGTACCCATCAACATATGAATAGATAAAGACAATGTGGGAGGTATACACAATGGAGTATTATTCAGTCATAAAGAAGAACAAAATTTTGAAATACTCTGCAAAATGAATGGAACTGGAGATGTTAAGTGACAAGTGTTTGAAATACTCTGCAAAACGAATGGAACTGGAGATGTTCAGATAGACAAGTACCTCATATTCTGTATCATGTGGAAGATTGCAAAAAGCTGAATTTACAGTAGAATGTTATTTTTTTATTGGTTGCTCATGACAATACAATGATCTTGACATATCATACATTTGATTCAAATGGGGTATGAATTCTTATTTTTCCATGTGTACAGATTGCAGGATCACATTGGTTATACAGCCACGTAAATGCATACAGCAATACTAGTGTCTATTGTATTCTGCTGCAGAATATGTTATTAATTATTAGAAATTGAGAAATTGGGGGCAAGGGTAATAAAAGGGTGTTGGATTGTATCCATACTTGCTGTATACATGTATAGAAATATATTGAACCCCATTATCAAGTATAATTATTGTGTGTTAATAAAATAAAATGCAAATTCAAAAGAAGTTTGCAGGGTAGGGAAGAAAGACAAACCATATGCTAACTCTAAGAAGGACTTAGCAGGTATGGAAGGTGCTATGGAAGCAAGGTTTGGTAACTAGGGCCCTACACACTTCCACAGCTAACACTGAGGAAGGAAATCCCACCTAACATGTACAATTAATATGTGCGAATTTAAAAAATCATTAAGAAATTTATCCTTTACTCATAATAAATTTGCATAACCTTCTGAATTACTAAATTTTGAACTACAACTTATTTTAATCACATTCAGAATATTGGTTGAGTGTGTCTAAGTACCAGGCCATCCACTAGGTACCAGAAATACAAAGATAAACTGCCAGAGTGAGTATTAAGTGTGTATTTCTGAAGTAGATCTAAAAAGACGTGACCAACTTTAAACATAATAAATACCAAAGAAAAACTATAGTTGTATTAAAGTAAACAAAATGTAATTGATTGCAAACAAAACAATTACATAAAAGGTATGCAGAATTCAACTTACACCATTTTTGTTTTTCAGTTTTGGGATGAAAGCTTGGCAAAGCTGGCTAAAGAGTGGACAACCAAGTGCAAATTTGAACATAGAAGTTGTTTATCAAAACCATATGAATGCAATGAAGACTTTGAATTTGTTGGAGAAAACATTTGGTTAGGCGGATTTAGATACTTTTCACCAAAAGCTGCTATCACTGCTTGGTATAATGAAACTGCATTTTATGACTTTGATACTTTAGCATGTTCTAAAGTTTGTGGCCATTATACACAGGTAATATTTGGCAGCACTGACTAGTTCTTATTTATGTGTGTTACAATTGTCATAAAAAAATATTTTTTGAGTTTCAAGAAAATTCACCTTCATTTGGGACATATTTTAATTGGGTACAGACCTCTGTGTAGTAAGGTGTGTTTTTTTTTCTAAACTTAAAAAAAAAAATCATACTTCACTGTCATTTTATTTGTATTGTTTCCAACAAAAAATCTACTATAATCCTCTTCTTCTGCATGTAAATGTCTGGCTGTCTGCTTTAAAATTTTTTGCTTTTATTATAAGTCTTGAGCAGCCAATAATAATGTACATAATTTTCTTTGTGTTTCCTCTGTTGTAGTTCAATGACCTTGGAGCGAGCTCTTGTCTATAGTTTGAACCAAATTTGAAAAAGTGTTAGCCATTGTTTTTGAAAATATTTCTCTCACTCTCTCCTCTTTTCCCAGTGTCCAGTTGTCCATGTAGAAGACCACTTGAAATTGTCCCAGTTTTTTGGTGCTCTTGTTATTTCTTGAAGACATTTCTCTGATTAATTTCAGATAGTTTTACTGCTGTCTTTAAATTTGCTAACCTTTTCTTCAACACTATTTATTCTCCAGTTAATTCCATTTAGCTTTTTTTTCAATCTTAGACATTAAAGTTTTTATCTCTAGAAGTGTGACTGTGGGTTTCTCATGAGTTCAATAAATATACCTACTGAATTTTATCTTTCAACTAGCTTTTTTAGCATATGAAGTATAGTTATAATTGTCATTTGATTGTTTCTCCTGATTCTTCTAGTATATACATATTAGCTGTATGTTAATATCCATGGATTGACTTTTTCCATTCATGATGGATCGATTTTCCTTTTGCTTATCACATTGTGTAGATACTATTATATTTAGAAAATTGCAAATTTCCCTTGTTGGTTATTGAATTTATTTGTATACCTGTACATACTCTTTTGGTATCTCCAGGGATACAGTGAAGTTACCTGAAATTTATTTGAAGCTGTTGGTTCCTACTTTTAAAATATACTAGGTAGAATGAAAGCAGTGTTTAGTCTAGGGCTGATATAATCTCAGTACTGCAGTATTCTTCTGAATACTCTACATAACACCCTGAGAATTATGACATTTTTCCAGTCTGGATAGTGAGGTGGATCCTGTTCCTGGCCCAGGGTAAACCTTGGTATTGTGTTTTTCTAGTTCTTACAGGTATATATATATATATATATATATATATATATATATATATAT